AAACCATGGCGCAAGAACAAGGCTTCACGATGTTCAAGAGGTGTAAGGGCACAGAAAAAGCACTCTGCGGAGCTTGTCAAATTACCCCCTAATGGCAGGCCTGTCAGGCTGCCTCCTTTCTGTGGAGAAAGAAAGGACAAGTGGGGGGAGCGAACAATTCTTCTTCTTGTCACAGCAAAATCATTCACTCATCTCTTCATATGCTACCTTTGCTTCTATTCTTTTAAGTCCTGCCTCTCAAGTACATCCTGCCCATATTCAAATGGTAGTAATGACTTGGAGATATGAGAGCAGGGGGTAGCGAAATAAGGCAGCTGTATTATAAGCCTGTCAATCCTTTGGCTGCACTCTTTCAGGGCCGCTTCGTTAATGGACTTTCCCATTAAGTCTAGTTAACCATCATCCACCTGACTCATCACGAAGAGGTCAAATACAGTATTAATTGCTTCCCTGTGATTGCAAGGTGACATGCTCAAAAATCTCAGATATTTTCCATGTCTTTTTGTAAATTCACAGTTAGACAATGTGTAAAGTTGGAGAAATCTTCTGACATTTTCTCACCAACTTGGAGCAAAAATGTATCATGTAATGTTTAAATGTTTAATAAATGTTTTTAGTGTTGCAGATTTTTACAAACATTATTTTCCAAGAACTTTTAAGGACATTTTTATTGCTATCGCATCAGTATACACAATCAGCATATAGGGAATGGAAATATGAAGTACTGAAAATATAGCATGTCCCTCACTCTGAATCATGCCCTTACCTCATAAGTATCCTGCCACACAATAAGGTAGTAGTTTCAGAAAAAGTGTAGAATAATGAAACAGTCATCAAAATGCTGATGAAAATAAGAGTAAGGTAAGCCTAATGGCACAAAAGGTAATGAAAAAATTACTTAAAAGGCTAAACAATCGGGCTTTTAAAAATGACAATGCTAGTGAGCAGTAATTGGATTAAACAACTGTTATTACTTAGAAAAGTAATGAAAGGTCAACCGTCATAGGGGTCATAACTGGTGCTTGTAAATATAAAACCAAAGATATTTCAAAGTGTAATCTTTAAAAACACAAAAAAAAAAAAGTGTGTTACTTGTACATCTTAAAGTTAAAACATGTTTGTAGAAACACACTAATGAAAACAACCCTGATGTAAGTATCAGTCCAATCTTTACTTCCTGTCAGCTGTTTTCTTTGTTTCCATTTGTGTTGTAGCTCTGGTTAAAAGCTGCTCGGCAGGCAGTTTTTCCACAAAAATGAAGTCAAATTCAAACATGTAAATAAAAAATTATCTGTTCCACTTATATTGAAAACATTTATTTAATTCAGGTCTGATCATGAAATGTAATTTGAGCCATATATTAACCTGAGCCCACGTTCCGCTGATTTTAATAAAGCTGGGGAACATTTCTCTTACCCGAGTGTAATATATAAATCATTCAAAGTGTTAAAGTATATCCAAAAATATACCTCATCTATGTGTTTCATATATGTGTAATTCATTTTCTGTCTTGAAGCACTTGGAAACTTATACTTTGTAGAAGCACATCTGAGTCTATTTGAGACATTACTTACATTTCCTCATCAATTTGCATCATATTGCCACAACAAATCATATTTCATAGGTTCCATCCTGTCAGCAGTAAATTGGCAGAAATTGCAGTTTTCTACCTCTGTTTTATGGGAAATTAAATTAAAAAAGGAATGTCTTGCTAAAATACAGGCAGCAATGCAGAAATTCCAAATGCTATTTTTTTGTTTTGTTTTTTTTAAACTAAATTTATTTTCTATAACTACTAACATTGGACACACCACAAGGAATAATAATAACTTCATGGCTAAGAGCAAGATGACTTATTAAAGTTAGAGAATTAGGAGGACAAAAAATGTAAGACTGACAGAAATATTTGCAAACTGATCCTTTAATATTGGATTTTGTGGTCTTTGCTTTTGGTTGTGCCCATAATAATGAATGTGAGTGGTTGTTTTTCTCTGTGTTGCCCTATGAGGTACTGTGGACCTTTTCATGGTATAGCTCCTTTAGTTTTTTTTTTGTTTGTTTTTTAGAATGGAGAACTAATGCACAGATTTGAAGAATTTTTGTTTGTACTACTTTGCTATTTTGCATCCACCTATTTTCTAAACCCACTAAATCAAGTTTGGGGCAGTGGAGGATTGGAGCATTTTCCATTTGCCATGGTGCAAGGGGAAATATTAATAAAACAAAACAAAACTATAAGACAAAGTTCTGTTATTCGATCTTGCACCAATAGATGGATAAAGTAGTTGCATAGTTGACATTAAACTGCCGTATGCACATTTAAGCCGCGTGTGCAGGCTCAGGGAGAGTATTTTTGCTGCCTCTGGAAATCTGTTTTTTTTACATGTTTGCAAAGCTGCACCAACACTGCAAAAAACCTACAAAATTTCTCTGAATGAGGACATCATAAATACAGTATGTGTCTCTTAATTTTGCACATATATATTGTGAGGAAATGCATTGCAGAAGGAGAGTGTTTAGAATGAATTTTCAAGCCAGAGTAATTAGGTTCTCCATCCATTCATCCATCCATGCATGCATCCATCCATCCATCCATCCATCCATCCATCCATCCATCCATCCATCCATCCATCCATCCATCCATCCATCCATCCATCCATCCATCCATCAAAACAAACTAGAACAGTACTCAAGGATGTTTGGTAAGTCCAATTTCCCCTTAATGTTCAATTCCTTTAATGATTCACATACTCAAAGTAGACACACACTAATACACTTATACACAAAAAACTCACAAAAAATAGGTATGTTTTTTCCATGACGTGGAACCATTTGCTCATTTTGATGTCTAAAAGAGAAGTTGAGCTGCCTAAGTGGATTTTTCATTACTGAATGTAATAGGGCAAAGAAAATTACAGCTACGAAAGCAAGATGGACATTAGGATTGCTTACGCACTTTTTCCATGGATTTTTGTAATGACCAAAGAGGCTCAGTGCAGATTAAGATTTTAAAAAAGTATTACAAAAACTTATTACAGTGCTCTGTGTTTCATGAAAGAGCCGGGTTAGTGCTGTCCTTGCCTGCCATCAGCAATTGGGAAGGGTACATCTAAAAAAAAAAAAGCACATTTGATCTCCAACTACTTTTCCAAACTGAAACAGAAGTGGGAAACTAATATAATATAGGAAATAACGTTGAAAATGATTTTAATGAAAGGCAACCACTGTCTTTTCCAATTTCTAAAGAAAATATAATTTTATATCTGTTCACTGCATGAAGAAATCTTAAAGGCTTAGAAATGGTCATTTTCTTTCTGAGGTGCTGCTATACTGCCTTCCAATAAACCCTTACGCCCACGATGCACATGCTTTACATTTAGAAATAACAGCTAGGTTGCGCCTTGTTACTCATTTATATATTTATATATGCGTGGTTGTTAATTCATTATGTGATTCAACAGACAAACAAATCTGAATAAATAAATGACTGAACAGATGTTACTGCTATAAATGTACTACAAAAGAGAAAAAGAAAGCATCCATCGAGACATTTAGATGTTTATCATCCCGCTTTTCTCTGATGGATTTTTACTCAATTGTAAATATATATTCAAAGTGCATGTTTAATTTGACCATTTGTTGGTTTATTAAACTGATTTTTTCTTTTTCAGAAATTTCAGTCTAAGATTTAAATCCATAAAAAAGCACAATTCTATCAGTTAAGTCCAGCACAGATCTTCTGAGGAAACTGTAAGTTTTCCTTTTGTGCTGAGGGTCTTTGATCACATTTAATTTCACAGTATGTAGACTGAAAATGTATTCAACCCTCATTTTCACAGGACGTCATGAGAACACGGCTGTGATCTCCATCTGTATTGTGGGACATAATGAACAGTTAAATATTTAATTTACTGGGTTCCGATACCATTGCTTCACAGCGAGACGGTTCCTGGTTGAAGTCCTTGGGGGGACCAGGACCTTTATTGTGTGGATTTTGCATGTTCTCCCTCTGTCTGCGTGGGTTCTCTCCGGGTACTCCAGCTTCCTCCCACCGTCCAAAAACACGCATGTTAGGTTAATGGTGGTTGTTTCTCTTTATGGCTCTGATGGCCAGGCGACCTATCCAGATGACCCCACTAACAGTGCAGGGCACATATGGATAGTTTGAGTTTAGCTGTTTTATTAGTGTCTTACAGCTGCTTATTCTCAGGGTGCACACATATTAAAAATGATTTGCAGTTTGTCGAGCCAAGTGGAACCTTCTTATCCCAATGTTTCTATTATTCTTTCTTTTTTCTCCATTGTAGCCTGAATACATATGAACACGAAACAAACAGAAACAACAAAGTTGCTGCATTTGGGTAATTGTGTTTTCAGGAGAACTGTCTGAGATTCTTGGAAACTACTCTGGATTTTGAAGGCTCGGCAGCATCTCCTCTGCACGGGCAGCACTCTCTTGTTTCATTTACAATATCATCCAGTATTTATTCCACTTGTATGTCCCTATGGGTTGTTTCTTTTCCACCTTTTCGCCAAACCTATCCACCGTAGCTAGCTTCATTAGCACATAACAGGCTATCAACATGCATAGCAGGCTCCTGATTTAGACGTTCAACCTAATTAGCTCTTAATGAAAGGAGAGCTGCTGTCTGAATGGAAGTGCACACTGTGGCACAAGGCAATGACATACATGTGTAGAAAACCAAATATAACTCTCACACAGTATGTTCTAACATACATTTCAATTCCTTTAAGTAGCTATCACATCTCAGCAGCCAAGTAATTCATTGTGTGAATCCTATCGATCTAAAAGACTGTTTTCCACGTGAATACTTTCAGTGTCTCCTATGTTTGCGTATACCGAAAACACATTTAACAAATTGACAATCAAATGGAACCCCTGAATTTGTGGTGAGTTTTCTCAGGTTATCTGTGTAACCATAAAGTATACAACACTGGGTTAAGAGAAGAGAATGAAGATAAGGGACGAGAGACAGAAACAAGGTCATAGATGTTTTATTGGTCGAAGGGAGCAACAATTATAAAAAACTCTTACAGGAATTTTATTGAAAAATGAAGAAAATACAAACAAAGACAGAGATTTGCAACAAAAGTCGGTACGAGTTGCAGTAATGAAGAGACATAATCAAACTCATGGCCTCTCCTTTATCTTCCATTCCTCTCATTCTCCTCCGGGGAAAGTTTATTAGAGACCCATGCTGCCCTTGGTTATTCAATCACTTTTGAGTTGTAAGTAATGGCTGCCGTGAATGAATGCAAAGGCTGCCAATTCATTACTGCAATCAGAATAAGAAGACCCCATTTCCCTTCTCTCATCTCCACTCTCCTCCTGCAGCTCTAAATGTTACCCAGAATTTGTGATGCTCAACTCTGGATTGAACAAACTTATGAAACTAATAATCCATTTGTGTCAATACTGAAAATAGAAGCATCTTTGCTTCTTGAGTCTGTTTACAGAAGGTAAGGCAGTAAATTTAAAGCCTACAACTCCCCAATGAACAGATTAATGACATCCTCTCGACAACTGGCAGAGTGTCACTGGGGATGCATGGTGACACCTGGTTTACCGATCAGACACCCGGGTCAGGTCTTTGACTCTCTAAATCCTAAAAAAAGAAACATTTATATTTCATTACACCAAAGATACATTTTCTTTCCGAACCATTTGCCTCCGTTTTATTGGCAATTTTACATCTCTGCTTTAGGGCAATATACTTTTCCGCTGAAGGTAATTTTCTCATCATCGCCTACTTACATTCAACAACTCCACAGCGTTTATTTCCACCTCTGATTCACCCTCTGCTCCAGCTCCTGGAGCACTCTCTCGCTCACAGGCTCGGCCTTCACCACCACAGCTCTCCTGCCCTCCGGCTCGACCTCAATTTTCATGATGCAGCACATGTCTACCAGCTCCTCCTGGCACCTCCTCATTCCGGCATCCAGCTGGCTCCTCCTGGACGGGTCACGCTTCAGAACCCCCTTTTCTGTGACCGAGAAGCCCAGAAGGCCTGTCAGAACCTCGTTGGACAGCTCTACGTCAAGGTAACCAGTTCCGTCAGATATTGTCGCGAAGATGCTCCAAGCGGAGTTGTTGCTGCTCAGTTTCCCCAGAAGGGTGACAATGAAAGCTTTGACATTAATCTCGGTGGGTTGTGGGTGTGGTTTGGACAGCAATTCTTCCAGCAAGCTCAGGTAGGTAAAGGGTGGAGAGGTCAGAGTGACAGCAGGGCCAGTCCTGTTGCTCTGGGTGCCTGTTTCAGAGGACGCTCTGTTTAATTCTGCAGTGTTTGGGCTGCAACTCGTCGCTTGAGGTGTGCCGGTGACTGTTTTTATTAGTTTGTTGCCGAGTCCGGGACAGGAGCCTTTGGCATCTGCTTCGCTCCCTCTGTCTCCACCATTTCCCTCTTCAACGTGGAGCGGAGCCCTTCCAGCGCTCCAGTCCGTCTGTGGACCACTGGGATCAGCCTCCTGAAAAACCAAGTCCATGTCCTCATCTATAAACTCCCTCTCATCATTAGTCACAAATCCGATTTCCTGTGATGCCTCTAGAGCTGCTGAGGAAAGCCAGGGCTCGGAAGGCGCTGGGTTGAATGACCCCGAAGCCCCTGTCGTGCATCCTCGATGGTCTCTTTTCTGTGCGGTGGATCTGGAGCCAAATACACTTGCAGTCTGCATCTCAAATGGAGCACTTTGGGGTTCTGTATCTCGGTCCACTTCGTTATTATAGGGTGTTCCTCTGTGACCCCCATTTGACTGGGCAGTCTCGTCCTCCCTTTCCAGAGATACAACACTATCCAACTCATCCAGGGGCAGATCGTCAAAGTCTTCATCGGGAAAGTCTACGTCTGCTAAATTTTCCTGTTGGACGGCTTGATGAATCACAGAGTCTTGTTGTTCATGAGCGTTGTAACTGACATGGACGGAACCACCTCTGCTGCTCTGGGTCAAAGCACCTCTACCGGAGCGGCTGGACGTTTCACTTCTGAAAGACAAATCAGTGGGTTTAACTGGGTCGGTAGTCTTTATTTTCTCTGACAGGACACACACTATTTGTCTCTGTGAGAAGATTTAACTGAACTTAGTCAGTGTCAGTCATATTATTGCTTATCTAATCAGACATTTATATACAGCTCACGACTCATGTGAAAAAAAAAAGTAGATTTTTTTTAGCTGAGCTATTTTGCAGAAATCAGTCCTGCTTTTGTATGTTTTAAGGGAAGAAATGTGATGGCAGGCATGCGGTACAGCTTTCCTTTGAAAGATAAACATGCTTAGACTCCACATGTACACATGTGACGATACTGTAAACCGTCCTGATGTAAAAAAAGAGACAAGGCATCAAGACAGGAAGATGACACATTTTTACATGCCCACCTGAAAGACCCAGGGCTTCTAAAAGAGGAGTTTAGAGAAGACATAGTGAGGTTCTCTGGCAGGGTCGTGTAGCCACTGTCCTGGGAAGGTCCAACATGAAGCAGTTCAGCATCCCTCTGCCCTTCCAGACCAGCCAACAGCTCCGCATCATCCACCTCCAGGTCCTCCATTTCCTGGTTATCTTAAGGAAGAAAACATAATCGTACTGATATCCAATAGGTGAATTCCTTGATAAGAAAACAACATTTTGAATCGTATGGAGGCCAAGCTGTCATGTTGACATACTGTAGAAGTTTCAAATATCAAGAAATTTAAAGCACGCAAAATGGAAACTATAATGAAATTCCCCTGAATGTACCTTGTTGCTGTTCCTGCTGCTGCTCCTCAGGAAGGCCCAGTGTCCGACACAGCACGCTGCCCTGTAAGAGTGAGCCATCTTATCCACTACAGAGTCCCAGCGTATGCCTCTGTCTCCGTTTTGTAATCATTCTGATGTACTTTTAATGCAGTTGCATGTGAAATTGAACAGGTGATCGACTCAAATTATGATACATACAAAAAAATGCGAAAAATGAATTGTTTTTGGTCACCTGATTATTCCTGTCCACCAAGTCCTCCACCTCACCGCCCAGAAGCTTGACATTGGATGGACCCAACAGCAGCACGCCAAGTCTGCAAACCATCTGCCCATGCAGCTGCAGCTTTGCACCAGGCCTGGAGAGTGAACATCATTTCAGTCTCATCCAGCGTTTCCACTAAAAAGTCTTTTATTTATCCAATTATGCTGTCAGCGACACATAAGACCAACTCTTTTATTTCTCTTGAACAACTGCATTTGTTACTACAAAAAGATGTTCAGTCTTTTTATACTTTAGGGAGACGTGGATCTTTTTTTTCATTTTTGGAACAACCAGCTGTTAAAAAGAACAAATAAAATGTATTAAATGTACGAATCAATCCATAACCTGATGGCTGCACTGAGAGCAGGGATAGGCTGATACTCCATGGCCTCCAGGCTCTGAACGCCATCTGTTACCTGCACAGTAGATGGAACAAGGAACAAAGCATGATACAATTCTTTTTTTTTCTCTTCTATTTCTTAGGATAGAATTCTGAAAACCGACATTCTTCAAATACAGCAAGGAAAAATTGCTTCTTGTTTCTTCAAACTGTACAATAATTTCTAAGCATGAAAAAAACAGTTTAATTGTCCACTGACAGAATTCTTTTTGTGATTGTTACAAGCTGCACTGAGTGGAGGACAATGTGTAGGTTTTTTCAGGTGCTATACCTCCCAGAATGTCATGCTACTTAAAGGAAAGTAACATGTGAAAGTTCCATTTTCACAAAGTGTCTCTTAACATCTTCAATATCCATTATTGCACCAAATACCAAACTTCCATAAAGTAGTTATGTCCAATAACCCTCAAATAAGAGGGACTTGCTAAGGACGGCCAGAAAAGTAAAAAAGTTTGAAAATCCACCTCTACGTTTCTAAGCAACACCAGCCAGACTACTTATCCGAGGCAAAAATTACAGTGTGCATAACATATTACTGCAATTTATTCCAGCGTGTGCTCTTACCGATTGTCTCTGTCAAGAAAAGCAGCAGATGTTGTCAACATTACGCTTCACGAAACTATACAGTCCAGCAATTATAATCTTGATCATAAGTGCTGGACTCCGTGGTAAACGGCATAACAATGCAGTCAAGAATAATTTTATGGTTAATAAGAAAAACATACGTAGTCTTTTTTCTGAAGCCAAGAGGTGCTAAAACCTATTTTGCTGTTATCAGTAGAGAAATGTACCACTAGATTGTGGTAAAACAAACATAATGGCTCTTGATGGGAAAGCTACTGCTTTAAACATAATTAAATATAATTTCTCTCCATCTTTTAATCTTTACTTGACTAAGCGTTCAAAAGAGAACACAACCTTTTGCCACAGCGGCTGGACTCTCGCAGTTTGAGAGGCTGTGGACTTATTATTCACCGACTCTGCAGCATCCATCAGAAGGTAATGAAACTCTTACTTGTGTCAGCGGGTTTCATGTCTAAAGGCCCACAGCCAAATTCAGAAATTCCTCTGACCTGCAGCAGCAACATGCGGTTGGATTTGGCCTCCCAAGGTCTCTGAGTGGCCTGTGTGACAGCAGTCACTTCCTCATTGGTGCAGTCAGCACCCCTCCACTTCTGCAGCTGACCGTATGCAGGCTGACTGACGTCCAGCTGTGAGTCGACCTAAAGCAGAGAGAGGCTCTCACTTGTGTTTCCTTTAGCTTTTGAACTAATTTCTTGAACTCCTCTGTGAAATCTTTGGCAGTGTACAGCCCCATTACGTCCACTCTGATTCATTGTGAATTACTATACTTAACCAACAATTTGCACAAGAGGTTTCCAGCTGGGTTTCCATTTGCTATCTAGGAGAACTGGAACCCAGCGGTGCTTCATTATAATGTGAATTCAGACTCTGCACCATTCGCCGCTTTTATTTTATTTTTCATTTCTGCACCTGAACACAGAAAGTGCCTCTGAGCTCCGTCTTCTGGGCCTGAGCGAGCCCTTCAGGGAGAACGGGGTGGTCCAGGTCTCTCAGGTCTGTCAACAGCCACTGATCCATCACCTAAAATTTCAGATCGTACAGACAGATGTATGCGTTAGGAGACTGTTTGCGGTTTTGCCCCTTAGAGCAAGTTTTACTGAGTTCACCGGGTTCCATTTTTAGTTACTTATATCAATGTCCATCTCAGTACAATAGCCCTCATTAGAGTAGCAGCAGCACGCCGATCACTCTGAGACAGATCCAATATTGCAATTACCAAAGTCTGAATGAGTCAAAGAAATAATTCAACAAAAAGCGAGAAACATCATGTGAGGCACACTGACTCATTAGTGTCAAGGAGTCCCTGCAGATTCAGAAATATGGACCTGTTCATTTACAACATTTAAAAAGTGCTCTGGATGACTGAGATCTGGGGACCATGTGGGACACTGAAATAAACCAACATCCCGGTCAGAAATGTTTCTTGAAAAATGACACGATGTCTCCATCGGGTAGCTGATTCAAAAGAAAAAAAACAGGACTTTGGCCACAGAAGGACACAGATGTTCGGCTACAATATTTCGGTATAGTGTGGCGTATAAAAGATGCGTCAGCGCGGGAAAACATACCCACATGACGCCACCGCCAGCTGGTCCAGCTGACACCAAGCATGATGAATACATGCTGTTTACTCCAAGATCCATCTATGCTGTAAACATGTTGGAGCACAAACCAGGATTCTTCATAGCAGGAGGTGTTCTGTCACTCTACAACCGTCCACGTTTACTGATCAGTACCTGCTACAGCAAGATCCCGTTCTCAGCAGTAAAGAGATAGACTTTGTCGTGGTCTTTTGTTGTTTGTCTGAATAGTGATCAATTATTATTAAGTTAATTCTCACCATGTTACATGATCAAATTTTGCCCAATAAAAAAATCTAAATTGTATATCTGAAAACGAGTTACCATTGTTGTTTTTTTTAAATCAGACATATCTCCATTAGGACACGCCTAAAATTCAATAACAAGATAGCCCAGTCTGACAGCACACTTCGATTTACTGTCAATATCACTGTGAATAAGAACATAATCTACTGTATGACAGAGTTATAAAAAAAAAAAACATAACAGAAATGTTTTCTTTGGCAGCGTGTCAAATGATGCAGGTTATTTTCTAAGGTTTTCATACAGACTTCTTTCTTCAACAGATTTTCTCCCTGCTCGCCATAAGAAAGAACATACATAAAATGTTTTTTCCATATTGACTTAAAGGTGATATAGTTTTAATTGAATGTATTTTAAAACTTAAGTGAATTGTGAAGCCTATAGCTGATATCAGTTGTTTAAATGACTCAGCGGATAAACCAATAGTCAAAATTCTTACAGTGTTCCAATGTTTTGTGGATGTTTTGTTGTCTTTTTCGTTTTTGACTTATCTGAACTGAAATCCAGACAACCAGACCAGAATGACACATTTTCACAAGCTTATATATCTTCTGTGGAGTTTGGGAAGAATAAATCATGGATAGTGTAGGCCGGAAGGTTTAGATAAGAGGAAGACACTCACGTTCAGAGCCACACAGGGAAACAAAGTCAAACATCAACTCCCTATGTATCTAAACAAATTTAACAATTATACATACTCCATTCACAGAAAAATAACTCAACTCAGAAATCAATGTCAACATTACTGTCAAGGCAGTGCGATGGACTCTCGCTGGGCGAGACACATATTCTGCCTACCTGTTGATTGATTTGCTGCTGCGCCAGACGAGCCATTCCACCTGCCTCTCCTTTAATCCATTCCACACAAGCCTCCAGCCAGGCAAAAGGCACCTGGACATGCCATGTTGACAGCAGCCAGGCTTGTGTAGCGCATACAACCGACTGAGTCTCTGGGGGCATCCTTGTCATCTACCTAAAAACGAATATTCTTTAGGTATTCTTCAACTTCAGATTCTGATAAGTGTACCAACAGGAAATGCAGCCAAATGGTGTAATCTTCTGCTCAGTTACTAATATGACCTTGTATTACTTTACGTTATTCTAATCCCATTTTCACCAAAATAACACTTCAGATGTAATAGTAGTTGAATGAAAACTCCCTTATTACCTTTGCAAGGTACTATTAAAAAATGCAGAATAGCTTGGATCTAATTTTAGTCATTTCCAAGTGTATATAAGTTGTAATAGTAAGTTCAACTTCAATCTAAAATAACCTTGATCGTGGTTTAAAGGGGTCTCCTCTTTAAGCTGCTTTTATCCAATAAAAGAGATGTTTTATTTATCATGTCAACATTGATAATAATGGAATGGCATGGATGCGGTAGAAAAAGATGGTGATAGAAACATGCAAACAACTACAGTATATCATTTGTAAAATAAAATATTGACAACAAAATTATCTTTATAATCAAGAAAATGTTGTGTTAAAGGTTACCAGAGCAGCCGCTTGGATCAGGATGTAGTCTGATAGACTGCAAAGGCGCCAAAAATTGACTTAGGAAACATGTCCTATTAGCAAAACAGATTATATGGCAGCTATGTTTTACGTTAGAAAATAGCAAGATTGCATACATTTTTTAAACACAGTAAACGATCTCAAAATGAAAGAATCACTTCTTACAATGCATTCATAACATCATGGACTCTGATCCAACAGCTCACACTTTCTAACACGAATAGCTTAAACTGCTACTGAAGTCCAGATCCGCATCCGGAAACAGGGCGTATATTGACTACGGTAACGCCTAATCCCTGTGATTGACACTCCTTTTAGCCAATTGGGTTTGAAATAAATTTGATTTGCAGTCATTTTAACCAATCAGTACTCGGTTAATGGACTGTAGAATGCAAGTTCGGTAGAGAAGGAAGGGGACGAGCGAAGAGTTGCAGTGCAGGTTTGTGTTTTACGTTATTTTTTCCCGTTTTGTTTGCTACAAGTAAGCTAATGTAGACGAATTCCAGCAGTATATTATTTCATTTAAATGAATGAGTCTTCTATCTAAGTTAGTTAGTAACGTAGTTGTTTTTCTTTATACGCGGGAACGTTACCTGTGTAGCTACCCTAGCTAGCACCATTTGTGTTCAGCCACACTAAGGCAACATGGCGAATATAGCTAGCTGCTAGCTCGTTGTGGTCGGTGTATTGGTCGAATTATTATTTTGTTTAAAATTCAGCTTTAAGTTTGTGTTATGTATCTAAACATAAAATGTCGTCTTTTTGTTAAGTGTTTCGGAATAAATTGAATGAGTGATACAAAAAACTTTAAGCTAATGCCTTTTCCCCTAGGCTAATAAGCTATGTTAACCGCGACCGAGATAATGGTGGTTGGGTTCGTTTGAGATCGTTTACTTTCGATTTGGTGTAATCATTTAACAACTTAATTACTGGTGTTGGTTGGATTATCTTCAGGCCGAAACGAAGTTGTACTGTTGTTTCACTAATGTATAACTTAGAAATGATAATTGAATCTAACGCAGTCGAATCACATTTCTTGATTTCCGGGCTGTGACAGTCACGCTTTGACCAAACTGTCCTGTAAATATTATTTTGTGGTCGACCATTACAGCAGAGTTCCAAGGTTTATTCTGCATTTTTAAACTATGATGATAAAAGCACAGCATTTATAGACACGTTCGCTTCGGACAATGTCGCCGAGCCATTTGCTTTGGCAACATTTCAGTATTAAAAGCTGCCTCTCTCCTCCCCCCCACAGGTCGCTTGAGCTGTTTGGTTTTCCTTCTTTTTCGATCCGCCCATCAACACGCCCTTGTTCGTGTTATAAATATCGGTGAGTGTCGTTCTTCTGCTAGTTTCTTCTGTTTCATCGTAGATTCGCCAGCAAACAGCTTGATTTTTTTTTTTATTTAATCCATTTATCTATTGATTGTAATCCTGAATATGGCAGTGGACAACTGCACTGCGAAGGGACTGCTTCTCTGCTTCTCTCCTCCTGCTCCTGTCACCTGTGTATCAGATCAAGGTGCTGACATATTCTCCTTCTCTGACAGAAGACCATGGAGACAGAAATTGATCAGCAGGAAGAGACAGCTTTCAGCACAGAGACTAATGGTATAGAGACATGCTTATTTAAAATTTGTTCTGTGATTTCTTTTTTTCTAACCCATTTCTCTCTCTGTCTCTCTCTCTCTCTCTATATATATATATATATATATATATATATATATAAAGCAACGGCACATTTTATATTTTATTTTCACATAAGCATTTGTACAATGTGGCTTTGTAATACTATTATGGTGGTATTCTTGTGATTATGTGATTTACTGTCATGCGTAATCTTTTTTTTTTCTTTTCTTTTTTTGTCACTGTGAGTACTCTTTACTCTGAGTTATCAATGTTTGTTTTTTTATCTCGTCTTGCCAGGTAAGCGTCCTGCTGAGGATGCAGAAGAGCAGACATCATTCAAGCGCTCCAGGAATTCGGATGAGATGGTGGAGCTTCGCATTCTCCTGCAGAGCAAAGTAAATCAGCATCCTTTTCATGTCACATTTCTTGTTCTACCCTTATGTCATTATTTGTGTTTTTTTTTATCTCAGTCTTTGACACTATCACACTTAGACAGACACATTCTTGACTCCCTCATGTGATAAATGGCTTTCTTTTTGTTACTCGATCATCTCTCCCTTTTGAGTAATCATTGTATGCTGATGTTTGTATATATACCGCTTTTCCTCACATTCCTTTTAGTGTTATGAATGTTGTGTATTCTGTTTGTCAGGGATCCCTGTCTTTCTTTAGTTATGCGATTCTTTTTATTTCAGAATGCAGGAGCCGTAATTGGGAAAGGTGGCAAAAACATCAAAGCCCTTCGCACAGATGTGAGTAGATTTATTTCATATATTTTTTTATTTTTTACCTGTTTTTACTTCTGAAATTTTCTTTGTTCCTCTCTTCGTCAACCTCTCTGATTCAGCCCCTTAAACAGGACAGCTGTAGTTTTTTTTTTTTTTCATTTGCCCTTTAGTTGAAGAAAACTTAACTATTGTATACACTATTCGTAATTGTAATGCAGCTAAGTGATGGGTTTATGGGGTCTTCTTGCATAGCATATGGTGTTGGTTTTTGATTTTGATTTTTCCTTAAGTTTTTTTTTGTCTCATGTCAGCTGCTCTGAGACACAAAAGCTCAATAAGATGACCATTTGTTTTTCCGTAATGATGATTTGTTATACTGCTGCACCGTCAACACCATATATTTGGTAAATTTAATTTTGTTGACAGTTCAGAGTTTGTGAGGTCACCTACAGCACAGGTTAGCTTTCTTTTTTCTTTTTCTTTGATTTGTTATGCTCTGGCAAAGTGGCAAAATATTAATCCATTCGGTATCATTGCCTTTTTCTCTAGAGCTCCCCAGTTTGTGCTCCCCCTCTTTCTTACTGTCTTTGGTTTGTTCCCCAACATTCAACTCTTCATGTTCTTGATATGCCATTACCCATTTTTCCAGTGTCACGTTTCCTCTTCTCTCTTTGACAAGCCAATCTCTGAGAGAATCAAAATAAAGTCACATTTCAACAGTGTAGAGCCTGTATATTAAAAATGTATTCCTTTTCCCTCTCCCTTGTTTATTATTTTACTCTTTACTTTTTTGCCCACTTCCTCCTCTGTTGCCCATGTTCTGGATGGCCCCTCCTGCGCCCGCCCACCTGACACCCTGGTTGGCCCTGCCCATAATCGTGCCCTGTCCCTAAATGGGCGCCTTACTTGATTGACATCTGTGCTCGAATGGCCCTGGCCCCTGCCCATGCCACGCCCAGTACAATGCCAGTGTGTCAGTCCCAGACAGCAGTGGGCCTGAGCGGTATGTCCCTAAGCTCCTCCCTCTCACTGCCTGACACCAGGTCAAACAAACAAGAAGAAATGAGTATTGAGTAGTAATCCTGCCTCTGTCAAGTCACTGTATTTAAACCTACCTGTTGAAAAGTAGATTAACTTGAGTCAGAATGCCTAAATACAGTTGTGTCCAGTCTGCCTATTGATCCTGTAAAAACCATGTGAACATCCTTTCCATGCCATTATGAAGTAACGTCAGCATTGAAATTTAGGCTGGTGTTGTAGGTTTCCTTAATCTACATCTGCTACTTTACAATCTTTGCTATAGTCTGCTCAATATGTCTTTGTGTTTGATTTATTTATTTTTATTGATGATGATCTTTCTTACTCTACTCCACATTTTCACCCCACCCCTCAGAGGGGACATACTGGTGCTTTTTGTTTATTTTTTGTTTTTTCGTAATCCTACTTGCTTCTCACTTCATCCCATTCTTTCCCCGTGATGCCTTTCTTATGCCTAATTAGTTTGTCCCATCCATTCAGACATAAATGCCAACCTGAGATTCAAGTGTGTGTCCTTTTTGTTTTTGTTGAGTGCTTGAGCCAAGTATTTGATAGTGAATGATACCTTTCTCTTTCCCACACATCTCCTCTTTTTTATTCTATTTATTGCTTTTATTTTTTGTCTATGTCCCCTTAAAGTCAACTTAAATGGTGGCAGACGTAGTTTATCTTGATACAATCTGTTCTGTGGCTTTTCCTTAGCGGTCTACTACGCTACTCACTTGTCCAGACTGTGTAGATTCTTATCAGTGTAGTCATTGTGTTCTTTAGGTGGGTGCAGACACTATTTAAATGATTAATGTAATCGGTAAAATCACAGTCCAAGGTATCATCTTAAGGCAGCACAACTTGGATGTGACTACGGGGGAGGAAAAAAAAGATTTTATTAATTCTTCGACATGCATAATGTTTTTGTTGCCCTTTTCATGGGGTTGTAGGCAGTCTTTGTGGTATGCATCCACCAAATTATGCCTTTGGAACGTAGAACTCTCTAGCACTGTTGGGGCTGATTTCTGCTAGATTCTCCAACGTTAACCTCCCCGTCCTTCTCTCTCAGTGGTCACTGAATGCAGTTTCTTTTCTTACGGGTCTTTTTTTTTCTCTATTAATTTATATATTTTTCTGAATCAAGACTTCTTCTCTCCGTCTTGTACTTTTTCCGCTTTTTTTTTCTTTGCTTTTTTTTCCTTTTTGTTCCTGCACTTCTCATGTAAAATGATCACCAATAATGTAGCATGCAAAGTCTGACAAGCAACCTTACCATTTAATTTGTCTTGATAATCTGAGTTTGTTATAAGGTTAGCCGTTTTCTGTTCTGAAAAAGGCTTGTATTGATTTCTTTAATATGAAACATTGTTCCTTCCCTTTGGATGTCCCACTGGCATCCCAACCCCACCCTCTCTGCCACTGTGCTCCATTTCGTCATTGGTGGATAAAATATGAAGAATCCTGAGCATCAGTGCAGACATCGAGACTGTTGGAGAAATTCTGCTCAAGATCATCCCAACATTAGAAGAGGTCAGGCTTTGGCTTTTCTTTTTCTTTTTTTCCACTCTAGTTCCGTGGTGTGTGTATATATATATATATATACATATATATATATATATATATATATATGTATATATACACACACACATCACTACTATTTTTTTATTTTTTTTATTTTTATGGTTAATGATGTCCATATTAGAGGTGCATACATTTTCTGTAAACATTTAGCTGTTTCCTTTCTGTTGTTTTTATTTTTAGTTAACCAGTGCAAGGCTTAAGTGGTTTTGGAACTTTTTTGTCTGTATTTGAGAAATACAGTGCGTAACATGGTATGAATATTTGATGTTTCATACAGTACCAGCAATACAATGGTATGGATTTTGACTGTGAGCTGCGTCTGCTGATCCACCAGAGCCTGGCCGGCTCAATCATTGGGGTGAAGGGAGCAAAGATCAAGGAGCTCCGTGAGGTGGGTTTGAATGAGCAGTAATTGTGTGTGTGTGTGTATATGTGTGTGTGTGTGTGTGTATGTATATATATATATATATATATGTGTGTGTGTTTGTTCCTATTCATCTATGCCTTTTCAACTGTCATCTCCAGAACACAAAGACCAGCATCAAGCTGTTTCAGGAGTGCTGTCCCCAGTCCACAGACCGTGTCGTCCTGGTTGGTGGCAAAATGGAGAGGGTGGTGGAGTGTATCAAGACTATGCTGGAGCTAATTGCTGAAGTAATTATGCTTTTTTGTATTTTAGAATTTTTTTGTTTTTTTTTTTTTAGGGTTTCACTTTTATTTTATTTTTTTTTTTTTTTAGGGGTTTTGAATTTTGTGGGCGATTTTATATCTTTTATATCTTTTTTTTTTTTAGCCATGTAACATTATTACTTGGTACGCTTTCATTTTGTTTTACATTTTTTCCTAAGCAGGCCTAACTGTCTTTCACACCCACTTCTTTTTAGGCACCTATTAAAGGCCGCACACAACCCTACGACCCCAACTTCTATGACGAAACGTATGAATATGGTGGATTTACCATGATGTTTGAGGAGAGGGGGGGCGGCCGAAGGCTCATGGGAGGTTTCCCCATGCGAGGTGGCAGGTCCAGCATAGGTGACCGTGGATATGACCGAATGCCTTCTAGCAGGGGAGGACGAGGACCGCCGCCTCCATCCCGCCATGATTATGAAGAAATGAGCCCCCGCCGAGGTCCTCCTCCACCCCATCCAAGTAGGGTTGGAAGAGGAAGTGGTCGGGGACGTAACCTGCCAATGGGACACCCACACAGAGGAGGGTAAGGGATGGGTATACCTAATGTACAGTTCTTTCCTCTGTCACTTGAGTTTTGTTGTTTTTTTTCCTTCCTCTCTCTTCCTCTGACAGTAAGGGGCCCCTAATCAGAATGGAAATTGTTTATACCTCACATTGGTTGAATATTATAAAAGGGGACCACAGAACCAGATGAACCTCCTTCATGCAGAAGGGTCCTTTTTGTTTTTAGTCATGCAGTGCTTAAGCTCTTTTATTAGGCTCTGTTTTGTCAAACTATACATAACTTCATGTGCTTTATTTTTTTATAGATATCGATAATATTGTCTCTTTTCTTTTTAATATCAGAATTGCCCCTCTACATTCTGTAGTGTTAAATAGAGTGAGATCAGTATTCATTCATAGGCCAGAAAAAATATTATTCATGATTTTCACTTCATTAAGTGTATGTGCTCATCGGTATATGTCTGGTTGTATTTGTGTGTTTTTTTCCCATCTCCACCTCGCCCACAGAGATGATCGTTACTATGACTCGTACCGTGGCTCAGATGACAGGTCAAAGTAAGTTTCTGTTCCACCCCTCAATCAAACCTCTCAACTAATCTTAACAGGGATACTTTAACATTTGGATTTTCTTTGGTCTCATGTTAAATGTAATGAAAGATGAGGTGTAGAAATCACAGCTTGTTGATGCCATATGTGGGCATTTGCTTTTTGATGGATTTTTCAGCACAATTATGTTCTTAAAAGGAAAATTAAAGTGTTGACGTATCCCTAAACATTTCCCTTTTTCACCCTCCGCTCCATTGTTTTTTCTGGTATCCACCCCAAATTACTATTTTTTCAGGAACTTGGAGTCAAACTAAAACACTTTTTTGTAGTTTCCTTTTCAAAAGAGAATGCTTTTGGCTTGATTTCCTTTATCTTTTATTTTAGATATTGTTAAAGGGTGCTAAGAAATCATTTCAAGACAGTCGCCTGTTGATAGTGACCGAGAAATACTGTTGAGCAAATCCCAAGAGTCATTCAGCCTAAAGCTGACATTTGTTTGACATGATTTTAACACATGTGCATGAATATTTTCCAGGACAAAAAAGATTGCAAACTAAATCCATATGCATCTCTTTGCTAATTCCGCGATTAAGCTCATTCATTGGGGGTGAACCAGCAGCCCTTGGCTCTGATCAGCACCACCACCACCTGTCACTCCTCTCACCATAACACTGTCAGAGCTGTTCCTGTTACTGTGTGGGAAGATGGTTGAGAGGAAATGTGTTTATACTGTAATCTTGCTCAGCGTGTGTGCAGTTTGACCTAGTCCACAAATTTTCTGTGGAATGTTGTCATGCATTATTTTTCTAAGCATTTTCTAATTTTTCACACTCCAACCCACATCTCTGTCTCTCTCTTTCTCTGCCCGTTTGTGTTTCCCCTTCCCATCAACAGTGACAGAAGAGGCAGACCAGATCGCTATAGCGATAACATGGTAAGTGACCCTTTGCTAAATGCATGCAGCTCTGGTAGTAGCATCTAATAAGGGGCAAGCATCCACAGTAAGCTTACTGGTCAGTCATAGCGCTATGCAGTAATTGTCCTGTGACGACATTAGTGGTTCGCTGACAGTGCAACCATTGCTGGTCACTTGAGCCCATCATGTGCATGCACTCAGTCTAAGACCTGGCCCTGGATCCAAGCCAGATTTTGCATGGTACAAGCCATCGCACCAAATGACCATAATCACCACAGCCAGAGACACCCAATAATCATCTACTATAATTGCCCTCTTACTGTGTACTTTTCATGGCCAGCCTGTTTTTCCTGTAAAGAGAGAGAGGATAGTGGGGGTGGCCATGGTTGGTTGCTAAGCACTAATAATGCTTTGTTGACAGACTGGAAGGTCTCTCTCTGCCTCTTTCTCTCTCCCTCTCTGAGACCTGGCAGGATACTGCCTGCTGTTGCTCAGCAACAGCTTTCTGAATCGCTTGTTGCCCTGGTGACAGCAGTAGCTGAATATGGAGGCTGATGGAGATGCAAGGAGAGATGGAAAGGGGGATGGAGGGAGGGAGGGAAGAAGGAGGAGCCTGTCTTATGGATGAAAACTGGGTGGCTTTTAGTGGAGTCTACTCCATGAGCGAGGCTGCTGCATTTCCTACACGTTTATGCCGACAGTCGTCTATTCATATTGATGGGATCTTTGATGTTAAAGAAATGGGTTGTTGGGTCTTTAACACTGCTGTGTTTTTGTTTGTTTTTTGCAGAGTGGTGGTGGATATGGTAAGTTCTGTTCCCGGTTCTGTCCTTTTTCATTCTGACATTTTATGGATGAGCTTCCCTAAGACTACAGACCATACTTTTAACATGGTATGGTAGCAGAAAGAAACACTAATGTTTAGGGCTGTTGATTATTATAGAGTTTTTTAATGTCTTTAAATAAAATTTAATTTAGACAGCTTTTGTATGACTTGGACAGTCTTTGTTTTAAGAATGTAAAAGTTGTCCTGGTATTTACCATTGACCTCTACTTACTGTCTACTACTGTCTACTTAGACAACAGTTCCTCCTGGGATGGCTACCAGTCAGGTGAGTCTGTACATTTATATTGTTTTAAGTAATGTGCTGAGTCATGTGAAGGGCTGTTAAGACAGATGGAGTGCTGTTTTTCTTTATATCTACTTTGATTTTAACCTGTCTCTACTTCTTCCTTCAGGTGGACGAGGCTCCTATAATGACATGGGTGGCCCTGTTATCACCACACAAGTGACGATTCCTAAAGATGTGAGTTTTCACCTTCTATAAGCTCCTTACAAGTCTTAAACCTGATTTTCCTCTAAATTGTGGTATTGGCATTTTTGTCTCATACATTTATAATGTATGTATTCTAAGTGCAATTGCAAAGTAATCACCTATTTGAATGTGTGTGTATATATTTATACACGCGTATATATAATCTTTTTATACATCCACACTGAATACAGCCATAGTTGCCATCATGTATGAATTGTAACAGAAACCTTTCAATTCTTGGGTTGACAATCATGGTAATGTCTTTTTTTCCCTTTGTTTTTCTCTTCAAACTCCTACTCCCAAATAGCTTGCTGGCTCTATCATTGGTAAGGGAGGCCAGAGGATCAAACAGATTCGCCATGAGTCAGGGGCCTCCATCAAGATCGATGAACCCCTGGAAGGTTCTGAAGACCGAATCATTACTATTACTGGCACCCAGGATCAGATACAGAATGCTCAGTACCTTCTACAGAATAGGCAAGTCTTGTCGTCAGCTATTTTTGTCTAATAATAGCTAGTATAGCACTAGTAAAACTGTTGTAAAGACTCAGAATTTGGTCTGAGCTCACAGGATTATAGCTTAAAGATGTTGCTTTAACGTGGCTCCATTGTAAGCCGAATCGCATATGCTTAAAGATGGTTACTATTGTTCATTATGTTGAAACTGATGAGAACTTTGAAGTTTGTAAATCTAATGATCTTTTCTGAAATTGCCTTGGATGCCCACTTTTTGCGGGGTCCAGTTCTGTTGCCTGCTGTATCTTCTTCACTAACCCCTTCCTTTTCCATGCAACCTGCAACTAGTTCAAACCTTCCTCTTACATGAAATGGCTGTGAAAGAGTTGGCAAACATAAATTGGATTTATTATTTTGTACTTTAGTTTCTTTTTGAGGGTTAATGTTCCTGACATGACACCCTCATTTTCCAAGTGAATATAATTTAGAAATAAGGAAAAAAATGTCTATTTGCCATCAAAGCCGTTTTACTGTGAAGCAGGGAGTGGATTGATTCTTCCCCTGGCTGCTGCTGTGTGGAAGACTAGTGATTTTGTTGTTTTTAGTTAGATTAACCGACAACAAATCACAGTCTGCCAAATAGCACAGGCTCCTCCTCTTCTGTCTCCCTTGGCAACCAGTAGGCACGTATATTACACACTACTTCCTTGTTGATGCCATCTGAGCTTTGCCTAAATGCTAATACAGCTGTAAACCTGTTGCCCTGTCTCATGAGTAGTGTAGTGTTGCCATGGTAACTAACCCTGCCTCCCTCTTTCTTCCTCTATTCCTCTTCCAGTGAACTGCACCTGCTTGGACACAAGGACTAACCACACCCCTCTTTTCCTTCTCTTTCATGCTCTTCCTCAGCCACTTGTCAGATGCTCACCCCCTTTCTGGCTGCCTTTCTCTGTCTCCTTCTGCCAAGCATTCTTCATCCTCCCACAGTTACATATTTGTATATCGATGCTGTCATTTGCTTGTGAACTGTATTTTATTTTTTTTATGTCTTGTACATGTTGAAATATTTTTCTCCTCTTTGTATTGCAGCGTGAAGCAGTACTCGGGTCATTTGCTGTAGGTCCAGGAGGCTCAGATTGAAGCAGGCTCAGATGTGTGTGTGTGTGTGTGACTCCCCTCACACCTTCTTTTCCTCCTCAACTTTTCTCCCCTTACCCTAAACATCCCCTTCAGACTGTTTCTCTGAATTGTGGGTGTTTTTTTGGTTTTTTGTATCTTTTAATGAAATAAATGTCAAAACATTCCTGTGCGTCAAAGAAAATGTAGATTACCTGCATTTTAAAGTTTAGTCCAATAGATTATCAGATTTTGCTTTTTCTAACACATATATCAAAATATCTGACTACAACAGAATAAACAACAAGAGTAAGCATAACTTTTTTTTTTTTTTAGGGTTTTTTGGTTGTTTTTTTTTTTATAACTAAATGTCTGTTTGTGTCTCTGTGAATCTATCCCATATGCGCATGTCGGTGTGCGTGGGTTGGCATGTTTTTTTGTTGTCAGTCCTTCCACACGCTTGTACCCAACTACCACTCTGTGCAACATGCAGAATGTAATTTCTTTTTCTCATTTTAAAGAGCTCTGGGGAACTTCATGTGGTAAAATGGATTTTGCTATGTTTGTCTGGTGCACACCGAATAGAGGACAGTCTAATTTTTAGGACTGTTGTAGTTGTGATTATATAAACCAAAATCATTTGAGCAACACCACAAATGTAAACATTTGCGTTTGAAGCTAGAAATTGGTTATGGTGTTTTGTTGGAAATTTGACAAATGATAGACATAAGTTTTTCTTTTTGTCCTTGCATATCCCTGTGCTCTACATCCATGCTACGGATTTCACATTGTCAAGTTGTAAAACAAATAAAGATAATGCCACTTTTTACTGAACTCTGATTGGTTAATTATCTTACAAGATGAATGGTCAGTTTTGCAAATGCATGTTTTTTGTACACCGACAGAAAAATCATTTCAAATCTACGTTCCTGAATTTAATTAACGTTATAAACTTTAGAAATATGTCACATTTTATATTCTATACACGGGTTCGGGAAGCTTGGCCAATACACGGCGCTACCGATTCATATTGCACAATTATAGTCCATGAACTGACTTCCCGTTTCCTCTTCTATGTTGTTATGATTGGTTCATCAACTAGTGACGAACACAAAAGCCTTGGTTCTAATTGGTCAATAGCTGAAAATCAGGTAGTGAAAAGCACGAGCTGGCTGGTCTTCGCAGATGCATATAAAGACAGCCTCGAGTTAAAGGGAATAAACCACGTTTCTTATGAAAAGTAAGTGTGTGTGTGTGTTTATATGTGTGTGTGTATGTGTATATATATATATATATATATGCAACGGCTTGAATTCATGATGTAACTTGTGATGTGCAAAAGCTTAGGAGTTACGGTAACATAATAAAGGCATGGCGGCAACGTAAATATTCATTCACCTCATGTACTTTGTCCCTCCTCAGTCAAACCTTGTGATAAGACGTATACGACGTGGAAAAGGAAGAGTATGAAAGAAAACAGACTAACTTTTCACAGGGGACCAAATTATCTTAGCGTCGTTGAAAGTGAATGAACTTATGCAGTGTTTACTTCTATAAATTCTACTACATGTGCTTATATCAAAGGGTATACCAAAAAGCACCCTTAATTCATTCTTCAAAAGACTGATACAGACTGCCCACAATCATAAACCGTGCAAAGCGTGGCATGTTGAGGATTTTGCGGTTGTTTTGAATCATTATACTCTCCTTTTGTACTTATATGCACTAATGTTTAGCTGATCAACCACACCGTTTTTATAATGAATTCCCCTTTGATCCCTTTTAAACAACTACACAGCAGAAACATTAGCTGAGCAGATTTGATTCATGTAAGCCCTGTGTCACTTAGTCTTTGTATTGGGGTTAATGAATAAACAATAGCTCTAAAAAGCTTTACTGTGACCGTCATTTAAAAAAAAAAAGAATAAATAAGTGTTTCTCAAGACTTTTTGCTAATTAAAACCCATGCCAGTTTATTTCAGTGATTCATTCCAGGTATTAAATGTAAATACAACAAAACCAGTCAGATCATCAGATAAATAAAATCATCAGGATTACAAGATACTGTTATCCTGAAGATGTTAAGTAACATCATCTCATGACAGTAAATTGATGTTATCCTGTTTACTTATAGGGCCTATGCAGGCAACATAGTCTTGGGCTGATATATGTGTGCTTCCCGAGTGATTACCTGATTTTTTTCACCATTTTATGAATTTCTCTCTCTTCTCCACCTTTGATTATATTTTAGGCCGTTTGTACATTTTCATTCATGTCTCAGATAAACTATGATTTAGTTAGGTTAAGGCCAGTGGTCTTGTCTCACGCCTGAAAAGCCTGGTCAGTAACTTCTTTGTGGCTTTAATGATGATCTTTAAAATGGTCTTCCTCAGAAACTGTAGGCCGCTGTAGGTTATCTGTGTTTCACTACAATAGGGCGCAGCCTTCCATTTCACTGAGCACCCAGTCAAGCATGATCGTACAAGACAATAGGCAAATAGTGCTCTATTTAGAATTTTTTTTTTTTTACTATCAATAATGAATCAATAAATACCAAATGATGTATTTATGTATTGATTGTTTTATAGAATCTTTATGTACACTTTAGACTCATATATGTGTGATGTATCATCACCAGAGTATCATATTAATAGGTGCTTGTGTTCTTTTTTTGTAGTCTCTTTGCCCCACCCATGATGGAAAAACCTCTGTTACCCAGAGAGTCAGGGCAGTTCGTGGCAGAGCACAGTCGTGATGTGTCTGTGGTGGACGCAGGAGTTCAGAAGGTGGCTGAGATGCTCTATGATCTCAGACACAGTGATGCTTTGACCGCCAGTGGCTGGAAAACGGCAAACCCATTGGCCCCTGCACCGACCTCGGACCAGGGGAGTTTTTATCAGCACCAAGTGTCCCGCCGAATATTGAATTATTAATTAATTCTCAAGGAGTGACCCATGTGGTACATAGAAATCTTGTTACGTGTTCATTTAATCAAGGCAATGAGAAGACTGTATTATAAAGCAGAATTAGGCTGACTGCTAATAATCTAACAAATTACTTTCAAATTCATCTTTTAGCATAGACTGTATATTTATGTGCTTTGTCATCCATTTTCCCACAGGTTATTATTTTTTGGCCTCAGGTTAAAAAAAAGTTTTTTACTATTATTTGTGAAACAAATAGCTCATCTGTAACTAATTGGAATATAATGAAAGATGATGAAAATCATTTGTGGGAGCATTAGTTTCAAACACTGGTTTAGGAAACTTTTTTACAATTCTAATTGGTCATTCTCAGTATTGGGTTAGCTTTTACTACTCCTTCACTGTTAGACAAAGAACAGCCCAAAATTATTCAAAAGCACAAGGGAAGCAAAATATTATCTAATCCAGTTCATAATGACACCATTTTGTTAAAGGACAAAGCATGACTTCAAAGTAAGGAAACACTTATCCCTTAAGGTTTTATTTATTAAAGCATTGTGACTGTTTGTTTTTTCACACAAATTTGAGTTTCCCCGCCTGTTCATGCATCTGTACTAGTATTGTGTATTCTAAAACTACAGGCATTGAACTGGGTGTTTGTGGTAGACACCATGAACTTCTCCTTCTGGCCAGAGAAGGAAAATCAACAGTGTGAGGTGACCTACAAAGGCACCACTTACACAGGCTACATGACCCTGTGTGCTTCCATTACCCGGGCCATGGATGAAGGTGAGAGCATCAGGTGTTCTCACCATAACCTGCTTTTCCTCTGTATTAAACAGGTATATGAGCATCAGTGACCATTAAAGGAGTGTGCTCTGACATAGCAGAGGCAATATGACCTCATGTCCAAGATACATGAGGAAAGACAAACAGCTCTGCCAAAATTCTAGGCTGCACTTTCGGTGCAGTGGTTGGTATATGGACTGTTTTCACCCACAAGTTTCATCAGCGTGCTGGTTTTTAACAGTTTTCTTTCTTTCTTTTTTATATAAGGACATTTTATGCCAGATACCGATGTGAAGAGCTGGCCCCTGGCTGTATCTTACCCATGTGTGCTCTGGGTCAGATACAGCCTGTGTGGTTTGATAATGGCCAGTTTTTGTGTACGTGCCCTTTGCTTGTGCCTAGGCTGCTGGAAAACTGCTTATAGCTCTGCATGAGTCTGAGTATCATTTATAATTAGAGCGAATGACTCCGGATATTAATCAATTATGTCTCATATGGAATGGAGCTCTCCATGTGTCCTCGCTCTGGCCTTAATAGGTACAAGAGCTCCTCTCTGAAAAGCACAGGTTACCTTGCTTCAGAGTGTGAATCTCAACGGTTGACAGCATGACACCAGAACAAATGATATCTTTGGAGCTTCCTGTGAGCAATGGCTACTGAATAGATATAGCTCAATCATTACGGCATATTAAAACATCAAGGTTGTTCATTGTCTTCTGTGTTTGTTCCTTACTGAAGATAAATCCTGCTGGCTTTTTCCACTCTGCACAGGTATACCAATTACTGACCCCAAGTACTTCTCTAAGATAAGTGTGGAGGAGTTGGGACACGTCCTTCGATCAGACAATGACACACCAATGCCGATGCTTCAGGAGCGCCACCAGGTTAAAGAAAATGTCATAATGACATGTACAGGGCAATTTTTGAATAGTTTAAAATGTGACATTCCCTTTATGAGGACAAATAAACAGTGTTTAACCGCCTGAATATATGTGTAACAAGGTGCTGACAGAAGGCGGCCATGTGCTGCTGAAACATGGGGGAAGTTTCCGAAGTTTCATCAGCCAAGCTGGAAACGATGCCCAGCAGATGGTGGAGTTCATTGTGGAAAACATCCCATCCTACAGGGATGAAGCTACGTATGAGGCAGGAATTCTGTGGAACCATTTTGAAAAATAGTTTGAAAACATGGAAAGACATCATCTTACAGATATGAACACTTGTTACCACAAAATGATGCTTAACTGTTGAGTTGCTACAGTCATGCCACAGATAATGAAGGTTATTCCCTACATAGTAGATAGTTGAATAACTATTATCGAGTTCCCATCTGTGTGCAAATGTTCGATTTCCAAAAGATTTTAGAAATGTTTGAATCCCTACCAGCTGAAAATGCATAAAACATTTTGGGAGCATGTCAGAAGTGTCTGGGGCTCTGAAAAAATGTCTGCATTTTGTTAATATCAGATGGATTATGAGTTCCATCTCCTGGCCAAAATCAGAGTGGCAAGTTTATAATGTAGTTTTTACGCATTTAATTGTTTTAAAAAAATAACCTTCTTAATTCAAGAAATGGTGGTTAAAATGATAGATTTTGCAAAAATGCGGGTATTGTTTTATCCGAGGTGAGGAATAAATGATTAACGAATAAATAAACGTGTTCCTAATTTTCTTGGCTTTAATTTGTTTCAGGGCAAAAGGATCTCATTCTACAAGCGAGCCCAAATCCTAGTGGCAGATTTCTGGGGTGTCATGGAGGCCCGAGGACAGGGAAACATTAACATAGATTGGCTCACCATGTTTGCAGACTACCGAGTTCCTCAGGCGCTCGTCTACTTAGGAGTTTTGCGATACTCTGACACAATGATGCAAGCTTTGAAGAATGGTGAGGGAACGTATGTGCAGCTATTTTTCTGGTCTTGACTTCTACCATTTTAAAATCATTGTGTATGATTTCTCTCAGGGGAGCTGCTGTGTTCAGGTGACCGGCGGGAGGTTGAGATCAGAGGTTGTTCAATTTGGTCTGTGGAACTGATCAAAGAACATCTTTTCAAGCTGGTGAAGGAGAGAGACGGCCAGACCTGCAAAGTCAACTCCGCGATCATTGACTTCTACCTGTGGCCGTTTGCCAAGCAGCATCACACTGAGATGGCCCACATTCCCATCCACCACACGCGCTGCATTTACTACTGATGAGACGGCTGGCAGCCAGATATATTCTGGGAAATGCACTTTGCAGCCTGCTGCCTTAGCAGTAGTGTCTTTCCTTGGGTCGAAGCCAGTCGTGTTTGTGCTCACTTAACACTTAAAAAAGTTTATATTTTTTGGTTGATGGTGTTCATGACTTTAAGGGAACTGCTTCAGTAGAATAATAAAGATATGTCCCCATCATCTACTCTTCAGATCTGGATGTTGTTATTACAATTCACGAAGAGATCCTGGCGTGTCCTGTTATTTTAATTATCAACCTCAAATTATCAACGGATTGATCGCAGTGTAAGTCAACATCTATGTGATACTGCTATGGAAAAATGGTGCATTCAGGTTCCATTTCTTCCTATCAGAATGTGAAATGGCTTTGCTTCTTCTTTTGAGGGATCGAACTACAAGTGGTAGGATGAAGTTTAGCGGCTGGGACCGTAGTTATCCCCCGATAAAATCTATATAATGTTAGCATTTCACACAGAGGACGGCGCTGTTGCCTTCAGGACACCCTCCTGAACGTCTCTTCCTCTTCTCTTTTGCCTGCTGCATCACGACGGGCAACGGTTGCCCGGGAAACCAAAAAAGCCCAAACAAACGTAATGTGGAGATGAACGTGTCAAAAAGGTCCGCGGATGAAAACACTGCCGAGGTTTTGGACTCCGTAAATTGTAGACCGCGCGGTTTTCGTCACTTTTTAAAGCCTCCCACGGCGCAGGTGTCAGGTGTTTGGCCCGGAGTGGGTTCAGGTGTGGTTCCCCGCTCATGAGCGAAGAGTGTGTCCGTGTGGCGGTCCGCATCCGTCCCCTGCTGCCCAGAGAAGTCCTCCACCACCACCAGGTATGTGTAAGGGTGGTGCCGGACTCCGCCCGGGTGATGCTCGGCTCGGACCGCCTCTTCGCCTTTGACCACGCGTTCGGACCGACAGCCACCCAGGACGAGGTGTACCTGAGCGGCGTCCGGCCCCTGCTGGGGTCGCTGGTGGACGGCTACAATGCCACCGTCTTTTGTTACGGACAGACGGGGTCCGGCAAGACTTACACCCTGGGGGGGAGGAACCAGGGTAAGTTAACAAAGATAATAGTTTAAAATGCCAATGCAAATGGCATATTGGAGCACTATTTCTTCTCCCATGCAGAGACTCAGGGGTTTATGTGTCATTTATGATTAAATAATGTCAGTGGGGATATCGAAAGTAGGCTGTGTGTGGGTTGACTTCTGTAAAAGTACTTGTTGGGTTGTATTTTTTTTAAACATTACGATGTTGATTTGATCTTTTAGTCTTTTACACTGTTCACAGAGTGACCCCCCTGACTAGCAATTTGCTGACTCTGCTGAGTTAGATTAAAACGTTTTATATGAGTTCAGATAAGTCTAATAGTTGGCCATATTTCAGATCTTTAATAATTGCATTTCTTTTTATTTGAAATCTGTTCTCAGACGAAGAGGGAGGAATAATCGACCGTGTAGCCCAGGATTTGTTCTTGTTGCTGAAGGAGAGGAGGAAGAACAGCGATAGTGTGGAAACAACGGTGCGAGTCTCATACATCGAGCTGTACAAAGAGGAACTTCGAGACCTGTTGGAGCTGCACACCACCCAAAAAGAGCTTCATATCAGAGAAGACGAGAAGGGAAATACAGGTATTGAAAATCTTTAAATTAATTTAATTAATTCTGACTGGCTAGCAAATGTGAGGAATCTCTCTTTAAAATTTCTCTTGTGTGTCTTTTCAGTGTTGGTGGGAGTCAAAGAGGTGGCTGTCACTTCTGCAGAGGAGCTGCTCAGTGTTTTAATGGTTGGAAATGCCCTGCGCCACACCGGCGCTACAGGAATGAATGAGCATTCCAGTCGCTCTCATGCCATCCTCACCCTTCATGTCAGCATCTGTTGCCACCAAAACTCCTCACTAATCTCCTCTAAATTGTGCCTGGTTGACCTAGCTGGTTCAGAACGTGCTGGAAAAACAGCAAACACTGGAACACAACTCAAAGAGTCTTCCCATATCAACACAGGCCTGCTTGCTTTGGGAAATGTTATCCGGGCCCTCTCTGAACAGGGTCGAAATCGTCGACCATCTGCACATATACCCTACCGAGATGCCAAGATCACCCGTCTGCTACGAGATGCACTGGGAGGCACCGCCCGTACGCTGATGGTGGCATGTGTGAGCCCATCTCACCACTTTGTTGCTGAAACACTGAATGTTCTGCAGTTTGCATCCAAGGCACGTCGTATTCACAACTGTCCAGGAGCAGTATCCACTCAAACGGAGATTAAATCATGCCTCACAACCTGGCACCCCAGAGAAGCTCGATTGGAGGAGCTGGAATATGAATTACAGACACTTAGGGGGCTTCTGAAAGAGAAGGAGAAAGATGTGGAGATGGAGAGAATGAAGACTGCAGGGAAATGTTCAGAAGTGGACTGCCTTGATCAGTCCAGTCAGATCAGGATATCTGAACCTGAGAAAGTGAGCAAAGAGGAAGCAGGGCAGTACCTCGTCTTGGCACAGGAAGCTGGAGTTCTGCTGACAGACATCTCTGGTCCATCTACAAGTCTCTCTTTCAGGCAGCGACTGAAAGATTGGCAGGAGAGACTGAAAGCTGTCTGTCCAGCACAACAAACCAATAAAGACTGTTCAGAAGGTGATAGAAACGAAACTCACCAAATGGATATTTTTAAACTTGAAGAGGAACACTCCCATTGCCAGGTAATAATAAGCTTAAGTGTAACAGAGAAAAGAGGAACTGTCATCAAGTAACTGTGACTGAATGCAATGGATCAAATAAGTTACTTTACAAAGAAAAGCTATACTGACCATTTTCTTGTGGCTCCTGTCTGGATATTTTACCCTCAGGAAAATCTCCTCATAAAAGAACAATTATTGAAGGAAAAAGATTCAGAACTGAGACAGGTCGAGGAAGAAGTCGAGAAACTCCTTCAAGAGAGAAGAAGTCTCCTTGTGGCTTTAGAGGAACAAAAAGCGCGTGTTCTAATGCAGGTTAAAAAAAAGATCGTTCTAAATATTAAGCCTTTAAACAGTCTTCAGATTTTGTGCAGTGTTTTTTGTTATTGTTATGTTATGTTTGCATATTTGTGTGTGAATGACCAGTCAGAACAACTGGTGAATCAGCAGATTCTGATTGACCGCCTTCGCAGCAATCACATGGCCTTTAATGCAACAGCGTCAGGAGCAACTGAGGAAGCAAGGGCCTCTGGGTACTTGGTTAAAAGACCCAACAGCGTTCCCCTGATCAGACACAACTCAAATGTGCGCAGGCCTCCAAGGAAGGTAGGTGTTACACTATTTTGCCAGTTTTGCCCTTTAATTTTAAGGATATTAACGATGAGCAATCTATCTAACATTCTTTCATCTTTGTGTTCTTCAACTGTTTTTTGTCTCAGCTGATTTTTTAAATAAATGTCTCTATGTTTGTAGATTCACTCCAGTCCACCAGTATATTCACTGGAAAGGGTGATTGCAGCTTTTAAGATGCGTGGCCATCTCCTGCTGGCTGAGATCGAGGAGAAGGATGAAGTTTACTGCCCATTCATTAGGCAACAGACAGAGGGAAAAGACAGGGATCAAGAGGAGAAACAAAGGCAGGAGGACAGTTTTATGGATGGAAAGGGATTCAGGTGAGTGTGTGTATAAGAATAACTCTCTGTTGCCTCTTTGACCAATACAACAGTTAGCTACTCATACTTTGGGCTTTTCTTAACAAGCAGCAACTACAAATAATGGAATCACTACATTTTTATATAATCACATTTAAACTTATCAAATGTTTCTGTGCTGTAGCATTCTCTTTAAACCCATTTTTTCTGACAGCTGTCCACTATTTGTAATGAAATAGTACTTCATATACCTCAGACACACCAACATATACTTTTAGTTTGTTGCACCTTGGCAAAAAAAAAAAGCCTCAACCTATTTGGATTTCCCATGTGAACATAAAGCATTGAATGGAGTCAGTGTTCTTCCCCCTGTGCCTTACAGATGACAAACAGCCACTCTTTTCCAGTAGTTGCATACCCTCTGACATGGGAAGCCTTTTGCTTTCTGAGACACCTCTGTGAAGTTAAAAAAAACTTGTACATTTTACCCATTGGTAGTATCTTTCTTAGAGGTTGTCAGGTGCATCTGATATTATCATCCTAATCAAACATTTTAATGTGATCGCAGGCATTCTTTAAACCGGACATGGACCTGTCGCCAGAAGAAATTACCTCTGAAAGAGAAAATCTCTGGGCAAGATGTAAAACATAATGGAGGCCCATTAGTACAGCAGCTTGAGTGTACCACGGGTATTTAATGTACTTTACCATTCTGTGTTTTTTTCCCCCTTTCATTTTGATACAGCATTCATTTGTGTCAGATTTCTTCTGTGACAATTTTTTGAGGTAGAAAATATCCAGCAGCAGTTTCCTTTTCAAACTGTCAGCGGCTGTTTCTTCTCAGACACAAGAGAATACCGAAGCAAGGAAAACCAAATGAGGCCGGCCAGAGGAGTCAACGCTGCTGGGAGAAAGATCCATGAGCTTTCTGTCAACATGTGCATGAAGGAGGACCTTATCAAAGAACTTGACAAAACTGGTATTTCTACATGGCTGTGTGTTCCTACAAGATTCTGGCATTTGCTAGATTGGTCAATATCCTTAAACTATTAAAACGGTTACTGCAGCTTCCAAAAGTGTAATTAGGAATCAAAGAATTACTTTTAGACATAACAGCAATGCTAATTCATGGCTAACCTGTTGTTATAATATTTTAGTGATGTTATTATGTGTTTGATTATATATTTTGATTGTATCTCATACACTGAGGGATAATTGTATCATTAAATGTGTTTTAATCTGACAGAAAAGGAATCTCAATTGGTGGACAGACATTTCCGGCACAGCGGTGACGGCAGAGAAGCAGGCGTGTTTGCAAGGCTTTCCATGCAGAGCCATCAGGTCAGAACCGAAGTTTACCACAGCTTGCAGCACATGAAACAGCAGATAACACAGCTTCAGAGCAGCAAGAGGCAGCTGAGAGAGATCAGTCATGGCAGCAAAGAGCTTCATCACAGTGAGGTCAGTTTCTATTAATTACATGTGTTCAACGTAATAATCATGCTAACTTTCATTCTGGCTTTTAACATTCAAACAACACTTATGTTGATGGTAAGGGAACATCAGAGAGGGGGTTTGTTGATAGCTAAACTTAGTTACTGTCTATTGCCAATGATTATTGGCAATGGAGATACATGATTTATATTTATGTTTACAGGGGCAAACTGAAGGGACTTCAACTGAGTGCAAAGATTGTCCTCAGGGAGAGGTAAACAAAATGATCACATTTTAAATAGGCCGCCAGTGTTTCCATTGTGCACAGCATCTCATTTTCCTTATAATAAACTTTCATTTGACTTCTTATTTTTCACTCACTTCTGCTCTAAATTGGTGTAAATTGGTCCCATGTCCTCACCATAGGTGCAAAACATTAGTTGGATGGAGGACCAGGAGGAGCAGGTTCTTCGGCGGAGAGCAGAGCTGCAGGAGCTGGAGGCCGAGCTGAAGAGGAGGGAAGAGGTATTACTGCGCAGAGAAGCCTGCATTCAACAGAAGAACAAACTAGAGACCAAGATGCTACGTTACAGTCAGGTCAGCGCATTTTTCAAAATGTCTCCGCTTTGCAAAATATGTCTAAACTCTTTACTAGGAGCTCACAAATAGGAGAACAGTCATTTTGATGAACTGCATACAAAACACACTTAATAACTTTTCAGGCCATGAGTGAGGACCTGCTGCGTGTGTCGATGAGATTGGATACCGTGGAGGAGCAGCTTGATAGAAGCAGAACCATAAGAGAGCCTCAGGGAGTGACCATAGATGAACTGGAAAGAGAGAGAGAGATGCTTCTGACAAAAAGAGATGCTCTGGAGGCTCAGCTCAAGGACAACAGAGTGCTTACTACAGAGGTGTGAAGACAAAGAGATCATGTGTATTATGCATTTATGGTTTCTCTGGCACATATTTGGCAGATTATTTTCATGCCTGATTTCATGATGCCTTTTATTGTTAATCATTTGAATTTATACGTGTATAGATTTTTACACATGTATCTTTGTCTAGGAGGAGCATTCCCTTTTTCAGCTGGAGGAAGCTATAGAGGCTCTTGGTGCAGCTCTGGAATTTAAGAACTATTCCATTCAGGACAAGCATCTAGTCCCATGCTCATCTTTTCATCCGTCGCAAAGCTCTCAGCCCGCTCAGTTCTGTGATGTCACCAGAAGGCTGAAGGAGCTCTCTCCAAGTGAAACTTTAGAACTGCTCATCAAATATTTCAACAAGGTACTTAACCCCTTTCTTGCCTTTCTCGACAGGTGAAGTGCCTGCGTGAATCAATAGTACCACTTCAATCGTTACTAACTCCTTCTGTTTCTTTATCCAACATATACGTACGTTTTCAAGCCTGATGTAAAGTGGATTTGTCTTTCACCTGAGTATGAGAAACTGATTGTTTTTAGTGGACAGTTTTACATAAGATCATCAGATTCCAGACAGCTTTCTAGAACAAAGCCTTCCTTTAAAGTATGTTAGAAATCCTCTCTGTGCCTGTTGGATTCATTTGAAACTGTTGTAAACTTCACTTATTTTAAACAGCAAAAAACAAAAACAATAGACAATATATTTTTGCTATTGTATGGTGTGTGTTTAGTCATGTTTTTGTTGCACCTTTATCATCTGCAGGCTGTTTGCCTCAGAGAGACAGAGCGCTGCTTACGCTTGCGCTGTGAAGAGTTGGAGCTTCATGCTGGCGAGGAAGAGGCGATGCGAAATGAGTTGGAGGCTGCCATGCAGCACCTGGCCCTGGATGCAGACCGCAGACTCACACAGCAACACAGAGATCACCAGATTATAATTCAACAATTACTTAAAAAACTTAAAGGTGAAAACCATGTGCAGATTTGCGATAATTGATTAGAATAATGCTGTTTGACTCACGTTTGCCCCCCATGTGTTTCTTTAAATGTGTGTCAGAAGGTGCTTCAGGAGAGACACAACAGGCAGCACCAGACAGACTACAGACTCTGGAGAAAGAGCTTTTTTTCTACAAAAGCTCCACCCGGCAGCTCAAAAAGAAACTCAGAGAGCTTCTCAGTGATGCGCTTCAGTACCCTCATACCCAGGAAAACAGACAAATGCCATGCGACAATGTGAAGACAAGCACAAGTGGAAAATATTTCCAAACTAATTCTACAGAAGTACACACTGGGCCGCACTTTTCAACAACACACACGCAAATATCTTCTGAGCAAACAGATACAGAGGAGTCTCTTATGAACAGGCTTTCACACAAAATTCAGCATCCTTCTTCTACTGACTGCCAAACACAAAAAGAAATAAGAATGTCTGATTGCGACCAGGTACTTAGACAGGCCCATGGAAGAAGTCAGTCTGGGAAGAGTGCAGAGATGTCACCTGTCCGAATGTGTCGCAGAGAGCTGATACAGATCTCAGCAGCCGACATTCATGTCTCAGGTTGTGCCACAAGGCGGCAGCAGTCTGTTTTTGATACGAGCACTGAGTCAATGTTAGAGGACTCCATAGAAGTCTCCAGAAAAAAGGACATATGATGTTGTATGTTGGGCAGATTAATTTATTGGCTTTACATAGATCTACCACGTATGTGTCACACAGCAGGAGTTTCCAGTGACTGATAAAGAAGAGAGTTGAACTTGTTTCCTCTCCTTTTATATGTGGCATGAAAACAGCCACAGTTCCTCATGCAAGATCATCAATAAGAATTTGTTGAACAGCCTCACAATTTTTGAGTTGTTGAACAGTCCATTTTTATTTAAGCTATTCTGGCAAGTTTTGCCATTCTTAAAGAGAAATCGCACTAAGGGAAGACACTTCTGTCAAAAGAGTGGATCCAAAAACACGGGAGGAATTTTCATGTTTATATTAAGAGAGAGTGAAAATAGAGTGTGTGAAACACAAACTAGTGTGTGGTGGCAGACCAAGCTGAGCAGTTCAGAACTATTCTATAGCTTGTCCTCTGACATTACTATCCTTGAGAACCCTTTGCCACTACCTTTATAATGTTTTGAATCATTTTAATACAAATATGTTACACACTAAACTTACAACCTTTTGCATTTTTCTGGTGAATTTTCAGCTGTTTGAATACACTAACTCAGTGTTAGCACAATCTACATTTAGTTGATATCATCCTTCCTTTTTTACAGCCTTCTGTATGCTTTCTGTGAACTATTAGTTGCTTAATTTTGTTTGAGAATAATTTATATATATTGATGGCTATCTTTTTATTGCCTAATATATTAAAAATCCTGATAAACATATGCAAAGGGTTTGTCTTTTCTGTGTAAACACATTACTTTCCTCATTACAATATATATTAATTGAGGTACTTCTAATTGTATTCTGATTGATACCGACTGATATTTGTCAAGTGCAACACGATGATAACAATGAGTAACTGCATGTCCATTCACTGGTTTTCTTATTGTTTGACAGGAAACTACATGGTTGTCATGGTGATAAGACAGGCACAGACTCATCATAAGAAAAGGCAGATATTCTCATGACAGCTGAGCAAACACTAGCACCTGGACCTGATAAAACACATGGAATGACAAAGTAGATGAAAGCCGACAATACTGTAGAAAACAACGTTAATTCCAAACTAAAGGGACAAGCACCAGCTAGAATCGCAGTTTTAAGAAAAGCCATTTTTTGTACCACTGGGCTTCCGTACACAGTGAGACAATCGCTGGTAGCAAGTCAACGGAAATTCACAGTTCCCTCACGAACAGGTGAAAGTAATCTTTAAGAGGTGTTTTATTAATAGTGCATCTCCACCACAAGTCGGTGGGTGTATGAAGAACGTCAGAACACTTTGAAGCCACGAATGTGTTTTCGACTTACATTTATAACAACTTTTGTACTTGTTAAAAAGCTAACAAAACCGGCTAGCTAGGTTTAGTCGCCGCTATGTAATGCTAACATGTAGCCGCTTCCATCAGCAGAGTTTTGCAGCGGTTACATCCATGTCTTGACAGTACATTTTATAACTAATTATGCCGTTAAAACAACCTAACTGTACAAACTGTTGCTGTTTAAACAGATCACTTGGATGATACATGTTGATATTTTGTTAGCAAGAAAGGTATCATGAGCTAACTTGTTGAAGTTATTCTAACAAAATCTTTTTTTTTTATAGACTTAGTTTTCCGTTAAGCCATGGCATCCTCCGCAATGATCACCGTCCCTACTACGGCCTCCCGTTTCGCCCTGCTCCACATAGAATCAGACACGGATTCCGACACCTCTGAGCCGGGGAAAACGGGAAACGCCAAAAATGGACGTGATACCTCTGGGAAGCATCGACAAGGAAAAGCAGGAGCAGCAGGAGGGAAAGCAGCTCAGGGCAATGATAAGAAGAAAGACAAGAAGAAGAAAAGGAAGGAGCAGCAGCAAAGTGAGGCAAATGAGGTGGGCAGTTCAGTAAGCTTGCAACCAGTGGCCCCCTTTTCCCTACATATCAGTGCCTGATAGAGCAGTTCGCTTGACAGTCCCTCTGTCACATCGGTGGTGATTGAGCTCACTTTCTTTTTCATTTCACAGGAACTGAAACAGTTTTCAAACAGGTTAGCCACATGATCAGTCTCATGGCTGACTCGCAGGAGTCTCAAAGTTATCCCTTTTTCTGTAGCTGCCAAAGAAGATTTTCTTTCATGCCTTGGATGTTTCTTCTGCATAGGTTACCTTTAACGGATCAGTGTCTTTTTTCATTTGTAGTCTGCTTGAGGCACCTTAATCCATAGATTTTTCTCCCTCTTTCCCCTCAGTTGCGCAATTTGGCCTTCAAAAAGATTCCTCAGAAGTCTACTGCTCCACCACCCTGTATGACCCTGTCAGGAATAGCCAGTGAACTTCTTCAACCTGTGTCAGCAGACAACATGCCTTCGGAGGGGTGGCAACAGTGGAAGCAAAGAGATGAACAGGCAAGAGAGAAAATTCTCACACAATATATGTATTTGATAGACACGTTTTGATTCATGTGCCATTTTAGAAGCTGGCCCACTTCTTGCTTCTTTGCTTCATGTTGTTCAGGGATATAAGCAAACCCTGGTCCTGAAGGCACGCTGCTCTGCATGTCATCCAAGTTCCCTTGTTCCAGCACAAATTACTGAGATTAATGGGTCCTTATCTGTCTTCTATGGAGCTGAAAGAGCTGAAGAGCTGACCCATTTATTTCAATCAGGTGTCCACGAGCAGGAACACTTGGACGACATGCAGCAGTGTGCCGTGAGAACCAGGGCTGGGAAACACTCCTGTAGAGTAGTGGGTGCTCTTGGTATTCATGCAAGGATAAAAAATAGGCAGGAACATAAAGTTCAATAGGTTGTCTGGTCCCTATTTTCCATCCTCTCTTCTTAGATAACCACTGAACTATATGAGGCAGATTTGGAAAAGGCGCTGATCCTCAGTAAACTGGAGTTTGAACAAAATAAACAGGTGCACTATACACACACGCACATCATTATGTCCTGTTGGAGTGAAACATTTATAGAAAAATAACACAGAATTCACCACTTTAAATATAAGTTTAATTGAAATGATGTGCTCCTGTTCAACAGAGTAACACAAACGCATCTTCGCCAAAATCAAGAGGAGGAAAAGAGGGTGTGGGGAAAAAGGACAAAAAGAAGAATCAGCAAGCAAAAGACAAAAAAACGGTTTCCCTGCAGGACTTTCAGGCTGAAGGCAGCGCAGGTGAGAGAAACTGCTGATCACTGGCTACACCTATTCCTTTTAAAGGGTTTATTAAAATGTAATGTCTTTCTCTTTTCAGAGCATTTGATTAGGAAGCAAGAGAAAGAGGTAAGCACAACTGCAAGAAGTAGAAATATTTCACAATGTGACACTTAATTCTAATTCAATCTGAAAAACCTCCAATTTATAATCTTAGTGACAGCATCACCAAACATATCTATCTGTCTGGTTATTTATCAGGTTTGCTTTCACAACCAATAGTTAAAAGGCTGTTGTTAAATCCTTATCTGGTATTTTTGGTGTGTAGCATGTTGCAAAATGCATCCAGTGCTGTAAAATCTGCCAGCGTATAAGATATGTGGTAAAGGCGTACTTCAGCTTGAATTCAGATCACTGTCCCCACCAGGACTCCAGAGAGGCAAACCTGGCATTAGGAATAGAGCAAGAGGAGCGTTTTTTTAATAAAGTGGAAGATGATGTCAGTCGCATTGTCCAAAGAGAGAAAAGACGTGAACAATATACAAACAGCCATGGACAAGAAGTCAACACCTCCACAGAACATGAACCAGTGAGTAGACACACAAGTGCACACACACCAACACTAATTTTGCTTGCTTTTTTATTTGGAGTCAAGTTATAATGTAGTTTAAACTGTATGTTTTTTTGTTTTTCTGTTTTTTTACTTACTCTTTTTCTTGACATTTCACACCCGCTGCGTTCATGTCTCTGACCTTAAAGTACATAGTATGGACATTTTCAAGCGATTGAAGTAAAAACCATACAAGTGAAGTTAACTTCTCTTCAGTTGGCTGAATTAGGGGAAACGTAAAGGTGTCCTTATGTGCTCTTCCCTGCCCATCATTGCTCCTAGGACCCCCGAGCAGAACAGCTGAAGTACGAGTTGGAGAAGAAGGATCAGGAGATCGATAAACTAAAGAAGACCATCTCACAATGGGAGGTTAGCTGAACCGACTCAATCTTTTTATATGGATGGAAATATCTGTTTTGACTTTCAACTCTATTGATTTGAGTTTATAATAATTGCTCCATGTTTTTGCTCTTTTTTTTTTTTTTTTTTACAAATGGCTTGTATTTGTCTGTAGATAGTATGGATGTATATGTTGTTTTCTTTCTACCGTGTTACCACAACTCATTTACAGCTTTGTGCAGCATCATCTGCTTCTTTTTGCGTCTGGTGACAAAAAGCTCTGCACTTTACAAAAAAACCCCTCTTTTTAAATCTGCAGGTGAAATACAAAGAAGTTAAAGCAAGAAATTCGCAGCTACTTAAGATGCTCCAACAGGGAGAGAGTGAGTTGAGCCTCAAAAGAGTTTTTCCTTCTGAAGCTTTCATGTTTTGTCTCCTGATGTTTTTAATCTTTTCCTTCAGTGAAGGACAAAGCAGAAATCCTTCTACAGGTAGAAGAACTACTGCATATTAAAGAAGAACTGTCATCGCAGGTGTGCAACACTTGACAGGAATGTGGAACGTTAGATCATAAATGACTTTTGTGCACATGAGTAACACATTTATGTTTTTATTCAGGTAACATTATTACACGCTGCCCTTGAACAAGAAAGATCTAGAGTTAAAGGGCTGCAGTCAGAACAACCAAAACATCAGGTGAGAGCTCCAAGATTCATCTCATTTTCAGGCCCCTCTGTGTTGTATTTTTTCATCCTAAAAAAATATCTGGAGTCTTTTTTATTATATCAGATTAAAAGAGAAAGGATGGCTTCTCCATTTACTGTGTAGAATCCTTTTTCTGTTGTTTTTTTTTTAAGCTGTTGGCAATTGGCTTCTTACAGTAGAAATGTTCTTAGTTGAAATCTCACCTGGGTCCTTTCTGAGTGTAGTTTGCATTTTCACATGCGCTCTCTTGTCCACCGTGAAACCCGCCTCTCACCCAGTGACAGCTGGGAGGGGCTCATGTGAAAATGGATGGATAAGATAAGAACAAAAATGCAAAAAATAAGAATGTGTTGTTTTTTTTTTGCTTTAAACTGATACACATTTTCAACATATTTATATTTATTTATAAATATATATTTATTATATTTTATCATCAATCCATCCATCCATTGTCTATACCTGGCAGCATCGCGGGGCCTATCCCAGCTCTTGCCAGACCATCACAAGGCAACACAAAGACAAAAAAACACACACACACTCCCCCCTGCAGGCCACCAGTTATCCTAACTGGAGACTAGAAGATATAGTAACTGTATTTGAACCCACAAATACAAGGAGAGAACCTGCAAACTGGCACAGAAAGGACCCTGGCAAGGACCCTATACAAACTGAGATGACTGACATCATCTTTATTATCATTATTAATGCAAACGACTACCACTCTAGTCTGAAAATACAAACTAAGCAGTTAATGTACTTTCCAGTAAAATCCTCCCATCATTTTAATACTTGTGCTGTCCTTTGTGTATTTTGCAGGGAAACAAGAAAGGGAAGAAAGGCTCGGACATGGATCTATGAAAGTTTCTGGGGGGGGGAGGGCTGTCTGAAAGGAAAATTTAATAATCATATTAACGAACTGTAAAACACTAATGACCGTATTCAGGGTCCTTTTTTCTTTCCTTTTAATCAGCATGCATGAACCCCCTTAACACACACACACACACACACACACACGTGTACGTGCAGTACACTCCAGAAATGGCATGCAGTGTTAAACAACTTAGATTTGCGGGGCCTTTAAGCGTAATTATTAAGTTTTAAGACTGGTTTAAAATGGTTGCTCGGTGCACTGTGTTGCCCTCTGCAGGTCTAAAAGTGCCACTGCATCACAAGTATTGTCAAAGCCCGAGGTCCCGTCCTATCATGGGGTTCGATGCCAAATTGACAAGTCGAATTGTGTATTTGTTGGGTTTTTTTTCTTCACTGTTAAGTAAATAAAACCCCTTTTCAGTGAAAAGAACTTGTTTGCTTCATTTATGTCAAAAGTTTGTGAAAGGTTTGTTTCTAAAATGCAAAATGCGGACGTGGTAATGAGTATGGATACTGCTTTCTCACAATTCCAAACAATTATGGAATTGATTTTCTTTTGAAAAGTCAGACATTACGCTCTGCGCAAGGAGTGAATTAAAAATCAAAGTCGAGGCATCAGATTTAGCAGTGAAGTGGAAAAACGTGGACGCTCTCTTGTTGTGAGAAATGTGTTTAGTGCATTTTAAAGTGGAATCTCCACCGGGGGGCCGCGTCAGTCCCTCATAGAGTCACGAGGATGTCAGCTTTGGATGTGCGCCTCACTGCGCAGTCTGGCTCCGGCCGAGACACATTTACACAACTTTCTGCACAGTCATCCGGACGCACACACACACACACACACACACACACACTTCCAGGTCTTCTCCTCGGACGGGCCTGAGATGTCGGCCAGAGCAAAAGGAGAACCGAAAGCATCCGATGGCCGCCACAGGTCCGGGAGGATCCAGGTCGCGGTCAGAGGAGTCCCGGGGAGCAGAGGGCTAGCGGTCAGAGGAGACTGCACCACCGGACAGGTCAGGGGCTCTCAACTCCTCACCGGACCGTGTGATAACCTTTTTTTTTTTTTTTTTTGCTTTGCAAAAACGCTGCAGTGTGTGTTTTTTCTTTTTGCGGTCCAGCTGAAACTGGCTCTGTCGGAGAGGCTGGGAGCCCCGGCGGGGCAGCTGGAGCTGGTCCACGCCGGCCGGGTCCTCCGGGAGTCCGAACACATCCTCCACGTTAAAGGGCGGAGTGGGCCGGTCAAGCTCTGCCTGGTCCGAAGGTACCCACACACTGAGCGGACACATGGTGGTCAGATAGCCTTTACGGGGTTAAAACAGCTGTTTCCTTTGTGTTGCTGCATGTGAGGAGGTAAAGGTCCACTGCCTTTCACACATTTAGCTGGGTTAGATGTGTGAAATATTCAGCTGTAGTTCTGCAGTCTCCATCACATACCTCCTTCAGCCCTTTTTAAAATCTAACTATTTTAGTAGAGGTCAGCCTGATGCCCTACACGTGTCAAACCGTCCTCTTTGCAGCCATCATTAAAATGAAGGAAGTTTTAGCTGTACCCAGTAACTCCACATGTATTCACAGCTTTGAACAGATGTCTGAAAACTTCCATTTAAACCGTGTCCATCTGCCCCAGGTCTAAACTGGTGTCCGCTCAGCCCCCTGGTTATTCTTCATTAGTGAGAACCGAATCCGAAGCGGCTCGTGCCCCGGATCACACCCTAACGGTGCCCACAGCTTCAGCCCTATGCCTGGGTAAGGACAGCAAACACAGAACCCTCACGGTCAGCTTCAGCCTCCGCCATGGGGCTCTCTGTTGCTCTTACTGTACCAGCTCTGCTTCTTCCGATTCCACCCCCTCACAGTCGAGGGTCTCGAGGGTCTCGACTTAGACAGCAGTGGGCCACAGATGGAGAGCCAGATCCTGCCTGCCCCCCTCTCCTCCAGGCCGCTTACACCACCCGGTTCCGGGGTCCAGCAGGTCCTGAACACCAGCCCCGATGTGGGACCTGTGCCGAGCAACACTGGTGTCAGAAATCAGGTAGGTGAGCATTATATTTAGTATGTCAGCTAGGTTGTTCACGTGCATAAATGGGCTGTATTGTGCCAAATTCAGCGTTGGGAACATGTGTGTGATAAGTGCGTGGCATTTAAATGGTACAGGGGAAAAGTAAACGCTCTATTTTGATGTCTGCTGGCGATTTCGTCATTCCTGTTTACCTCTCCAGGCGATGGGGTTCACCAGTGACCCTGAAATGATACGGGAAGACCCTGAAACCACCCCAGGTGCATCTGCTATTTGTCAGAAGACAGAAGCAAAAACACAGCAAACTAGTCCCAAACTGCAGGTACGTCCCACTTAATTGTGTGTTTGGATTGGGTCACATGAACCCTGTGTGTTAAACCCGTTATTCGAGATCTGTATTGGATGTGTGTGAGAAAGAGAACTCCATTTGTGACCATAACATCCGGCCATACACAGTCGCCAGAGGCAGAGAGCAGCTCAACACTACGCTCCTCCGAAGACTCCGCAGATCCCCTCAAAGACCTGACTGCCGCCCCTAAAGCTGATCCAGGATCTCAGAGCTCTATCCCCACAGGCAAGATACTGCAGCCCCACCACGCAAACACAGCCGATGTACAGAGAAGAATCCCCGTTGTGTCCTCAGAAAGCTTTTCCTGCTCATTGTGGCCTGCTCCCCGTTGCCTCAGGTATGCAGGCCCTGCTGGAGGAGATCACAGCGAGTCCGGGTCTGGTGGAGAGTCTGCTGTGTGGGCCGTGCGTCAGCAGCCTCCTGAACTGCCTCAGCAGCAACCCCGACCTGGCCGCTCAGGTGATTGGGTAATAGATGTGAGGAAATAGAGCAAACCTCTCTGAGCCGTATTTTCACTGCTGCACGGTGACTTTTAGCTATCAACTGCTGTGTTATTGCGATCTCAACTTTAAACGCTTTGTGAGAGGGTTTTCTCAGGAGTCTTCTGCGTTGTTTGTAAGTGCAGTATGAAGAAAAAAACAGACATTTGACATAGTGTTTTGTATGTTTTGGTTTAAGGTGAAACTGCTTACACAAATTGAGGTTATTCAGCCAATTGCATTTTTATAGCGTCACCACTAGATGGCACTAAAACCATAGGGTTCTATTTTAAATCTAACAGCTATTGAGATAACATTTTAGAGGCAGAATCTTTCCACCAAAGTCACTGAGACGTCTCTCTGTTTTTGCTTTGTTTCAGATGCTACTGAGCCATCCGCTGTTCTCACAAAATCCTCAGCTTCAACAGCAAATGAGACAGCAAATCCCTCTGTTTTTGGAACAGGTCTGTTTAATCACTTCAGTGTTACTCTTTTGACATATACTCACAATGGCCTTCCACATGGATATATAATTTTGCAGTAAAGTTTGATGAAGAGTTGCTGGAGCAATTCTATGGCATTCATTTTCTCTTACCAAAGCCTTCGTGAAACGTTACCTGCTCAACGTTTACATTAAATCCAATTATTATTTGTCAATAATCTATAGATGCAGACTCCAGAGCTGTTGTCAGCCATGTTGAATCCCAAAGCAATGGAGGCTCTGCACCAGATCCAACAAGGCCTTCAGACTCTGGCTGAGGAGGCTCCCTCCATCCTGCCAACGTGAGGACAAGCAGACACCAGGCTTTCTCTTCAAATCCATTTATGTTTACATCATAACCAGCTGTCTATCCTGCAGAGCTGGACTCGAACCTAATGGTGACGATGCTAATGAGGCTCCTGAGTTAGCATCTGACTGTTGTCTGAACAGCCAGTCAGGGAATGGGCTTCAGGTTGCCACAGCGACCGAGCAGCAGCAGAAGTTTGTGCACCAGATGCTGCAGGCTCTGGCCAACACCACCAGTGGGGTATGTTAGTGCGTCTGTATCACCCCGTTGTCTGTTTAACTTAATCAGTTTAGCATGTGAATGAACTCAGAATAACTCTGGTGTCACGCTTCTTCAGGCTCGACAGGAGGAGCAGGAGTTCCAACAGGAGCTGGAGCAGCTGAGCTCCATCGGCTTCAGGGACAGACGGGCAAACCTTCAGGCACTCATCAGCTCAGGAGGAGACCTCTCCACCGCCATCCAGCATCTGCTCGCTCTCTGAAACCCGGTGGCAGCCTATGAACCAGTATAAGTGCACTCATATGTACAGTACACATAGAAGCAAATCAATGATAAACCTGCTTATAAGAAAAAATCACAAACAACTTAAATAGCAGGCATGACAAATACAACCATAAATAAACATGTAATGGTGCCAGCGAACCACTGACATATACCAAATTAACACAATGTTTATTTAAAACAAGCTGACTGCTTACTGTCGCTCTGTAAAACGGGTCTGCACGGACATGGCTAAAAGTGTAATCCACTCCATCTACAGTAGACTTGTAGCCGTAACATATATCTAAAAAAGCTGCACATGTATTATTCATTTCTATGCTGCTACACTACAAGGCTCAGGCATCATTTCACGCTGCCACCTGGACAGAGTCTCACACCCGGAGAGGGCTGGATGTCCTGAGAGCACTCACGGGGCTCCTGCTCTGCTTCTAAGACAACATCTGTGTGCACTCTCATGCTGCTTACAGCTCATCCACTTCAAACACGTCCTTGTTTTTGGTGGTTTTTTGGCTTTGTAGATGTTTAAGTATTCATTGTACTTTCTGTGAAATGCTTTTAAAGCTACTTTTTCACATCAGTCACTGCTGATTGGGCTTTTTTTTTGTGTGCCGCTTTAAGCTTAGAATGGTCTAAGAATTGGCAGAACGGAAAGACTATTATATCACAATTTAATGAATAAATACATGCACACTCATCAAGCCATTCCACTCTCCAAAATCATGTGTGTTAGGTTATCTAGTGATACTGAATGTTGCCGGGTAGTTGGGACGGTTGTTGGTCTTTGTGTGGCCCCGAAATGGATCTTGGGGTAATATGCTTCTCACTCACTGGCAATTGGGACAGACAGAACTAGGACATTATTTTGTATCGTCTCTTGACTGAAGGGTAGAGCGAGTGTCAGAGGGTTACTGTATACCTGCTTTAGGGCTCTCAGAGATGTGCAATTACCTGACAATAACATCGCCTGACTAACAAGAGGCCTTTTCAGTCATTAAACCTGTGCATATGAACCGCTTCACAACTGGAATGCATTTCTTCTGTTGCTGCCTCAGTGCAGGGGTTTTAATCCTTAGCAGTGTGTGTGTGTGTGTGTGTGTGTGTGTCAGTGTGCGCGCATGCGACTGGATGTGTGAGATATGGGAGTAGCTGAGGGGGTTTTCTGGATTAGAGGCTCCAAAAATATTCAGGTTGAGGTTTGAAGATGAGTCACACCGTTGGAAAAAAAGCTCCTCCGTATGTAAGTGGATGTGAATGCGTCTTCTGAAGAGGCCAAACGATCACAAACATATATCACAAGGCTTGGATTTATTCAATTTCTACTCATTTAACTTTGGCTGAATTGGAAGATATTGATTTTTAACCCAAATCTTAAATTTACCTCCAACTACAATCTGCTCATGGCTAACCCTTGCCTTTACCTGGGAAATTATACTTATTTGGATTACTTTGCTTCCTATAAGGAGAATCAGTCCTTGCAAGGTCAGCGATTAAGAATGATTAAAGACTGAATGAAACAACATAACTTCTGTAATTCAAACCTGTTACTTCTTTCCAGTTCTATTCAGCTCACATAATGATTTAGTTCTAAACTTTGCACTTATATAAAAAAAATCATAAGATGTTTATCTTAACTAGTGAATACTAGTTAAAAGTTCTTTGATATCCTTGTAAGGTACAGAAATGCTTTAAACCACATAAATGAACTCTGTTCATTATCTTGCGGAGGGATATGAAAAGAACTACAATTTATCCAGTAGCAAGTCAACAAAGCATCAATCAAATTTTAGAAATCTGGCAGCTGTTAGCAAATATTCATTTTGAAAAAAAGCCCAAAACTGCAGAGAGTGACGAAAATAATTTAAATAAAGGCTTTTTATAATAGCACTTTGGAACAAGATGTTGGTCTCTTTCAGGCACTACAACAAAACCATTGACTAGGAAAAAAATCTGTTAGTTTGGACATCTGAAAACGACTAAAACCCCCAAACACTAAAAAACAAGAGCTGATCGTTTGCATCAGTTTGCTGCATCATTTTAGCTACAACTTGACTCCTGGCAATGATTCAGGGTGATGATGTGCTTTTCAACCTCCCCAGCCATGTCAGCGATGCTCCTCCTGACATCCAGCGATAACACGTTCTCCTCATCGGATGGAGGCTCTAAAATATCGAACTGAGAACGAAGCAGGTCTGCTTTCATGTAATGACCCATTCGGGCTACTATCCTCTTGTGTATGAGTTCGTAGTCACCATGCAGGTAGAGGAAAAAGACATCAGGAGGTGTTGAAGGCGGCACTTCCTGGTGTGAAACAGTAGAAGAAGAAAGGGCCGTAGAGCCAAAGAGGAGGACCTGTCTATACTGGCGCTTCAGAGCAGAGCACACCACAAGAGCACTGCAGCCCGAACTCCTCTCTCTGTAATAGAAACACACACAGATAGAGATGCCATCAAAGAACAAATAACTACTCAGTTGCACCAAGATATATATATTTTTTAATGAAGAACCTTGATGTTACCTTTTAGGCAGCTAAAGGGAGGCAGGACAGAAAGGGGGGAACTCAAGGATGAGAGAGAGGTAAAAAAAAAAAGTGGATTTGGGTGTGGAGGAGTTACGGTCAAACTGCCTTTGATGTTTCCAGACATTTTAAGGAAAGGACGGCACACTTTTTCCACTAAATCGTTCTAAACTCTGCATTTCTCTTTGCTTTTCATCTCAGTTTTCCAAAAGTTTTTCTATTTGTGGCATTTAACATCTTCAATTATTTTACACCTGCATATTCTTTGGTCCCAGCTCTGCTCTCGTGCTCCACCCAACTCTGAACCAGTTTCCATTCTATCATTAAAAACACTTTGTTTCTTCCTGAGGATGTCCTAATGTACGTACACTAAGTAGAAAGAACACAAAACAGCTTTAGGACTTGGTTTGGAACCAGGGTGACAGATTATATGTCCAAGAAATAGATCTGACTTGTCCTCTGAGGTGAAGCATCACAGTACGAGTGTGTTTATGCATGACGGTAGTCTCACCTCTCAATGACTTCATGTAGTTTGAGAAGCCAAGGCCATCTGTCCTGAAAAGGCAAACAAAAATGAACCAGCTTCCTTTTGTCCTGAGCACCAGGTTTTTTAGTGTGATGTGTTATGGCTTTATTTGGGACTTCATAGATAGCACATTGGACTACAGCCTGTAAGTTATAACATTTAACATGGCCTTACTGTTGTCTCAATAGTCAGTTCTTAACCTTTTTTCCAAATGTACCGTGCATGCCCTTTTAGCCTCGGGGTCAGAGAGCTAATTGTGAACTGATCTTCACCATCCTGTACAACCATTGGCCTTTGCTGCATGTCACTCTCTATCCCTTTATCTTTCCTTTGATGGGCCACCCTTTGTCCGCTTTGTTCTGCTCTGCAATAATTTACAATGGACATTAAAAAGAGTAGTAAAAACTGGATACACTTTAGATTATTTAATGGTTAAGACAACCAAAGCTGAAGGGGAATAAAGTCTTATTCACTTTGTGGTTCACAGCTTGTGGCATTGGGGCTGCTATCAGGATACAGCCATGACAACCTTTGATTAAGGCATTCACATTCACTAGTTCACATATTGATGCAGAGGAGTCTCTCCAGCATCCAGACTGAGCACGCCTCGGTCCCATTTGGCAACACCAACCCCAGTTGGCCTGTGAATACTGGCATGACAAAAATATTTTCGCCAGAGTCTGACAGTAACTTTGCATTTCTATTTCTCCAACTGTTTTTGAAATATGTCACAGTGTTGGACAGAGCAGACTCCCTATTTATCCTGCTCATCGTGAAGAGCAGACCTCTGAGTGGGAGGTTTATCAGCAGCTTCCAAACACAGCTATCAGCAAACTACTGCCAAATGTTGGCAGACGCTCCTCGGCCTGCAGGCATGTACACTCAACTTTGGCGGGTGGCCATGCGATTGTTTGGAGGTCTCACTTCATTTAAAAAGTCACTAAGGACAGGAAAAGGATAAATATTGAACAAAAGAAAATAAATTACTTGACTCAACTGAAGAGCTGTGGGCTGGATCAAAAGCTAAGTGTCCAGCCTTTGTGGGCTATCACATGAAGTTCTGAGCAGCCGTAAGTCTTAGAGAAGGATTTGCTCATGAGTGAGAAGAAATGAGGAGCTCTGTAAGTGACTGACATGTAGAGGGAGATGCTGAGACAACTCCAGGAGAGCAGGCCCACAGCTTCACATTAAGATTCATGACACAACGCATCGTGTGGGTGCACAGCCTCAAACCACCACTTCCCAAAGTGGAATTAGTACAGAATTTTCCCCCCAAAAATGTAATTACTCTTGATCCTGGGCTCACCTGGTCTGTGAGCGGTTCACCACGAGCCATTTTCTGAATATTCTCCCGAGGATGGAAATCATCGCCTTCGTGCAGAGGCCAGCCCAGCTGGGGGTTACAAACATGGACAGGTGAGTGGAATAGTAGAGAGAGAGCTAAGTGTGTCTGTGTGTGAAATTAGGTTCTGTCTGTGTCTTCTCACCTTTTCAGACAGGAACAGACCTAAACTGCTTCTGGATGATAAAAAAAAATTGACAGTGACAGGAAATCAGATTAAACTCAGATTAGAAATTCATTCTAATGATCAGTCTCCACATAACCATTTTGCAATCACAACAATAGCACATAAAATATCCACAATATGTTTTGCTACATGGCTGTAACACACAACTGGACTATGTAGAGCTGTCTTCCTGAGTGAACTTAAAACAAACACCAGCGTTATGTAACTATTTATGCAACCGCACATGAATAGTTGATGGACCGGCTAATGATTCTTACAGAAAACAAATCATAAATTAATCTCCACTAATGCCAGATTCAGTTTGGAACTTCAAAACCCTGGAAAATCGAAAAAAGTAGAAAGGTTTCTAAAAGGTGAAATCATGTTTAAATACAGAGGTATGCATGTTATGAGTTTATAAAATCCAGTCCATAAAAGCGTAATGTCTTGCATGTGGGGGATAATTCTATAAGTTTGCCTCCCTAAAATAGTTGGATGGACTCAAGTGAGGTTTATGAATAAAGAGCAAGTTAAACTATTTTAATGTGCGGTATATTCTCATAGATATAGTAGATAAAAAGCCAAGAGATCCAAAAGTGAGTAAAAGAAAAAATATATAACTGTTTCAACAGTTTCAAATGCATCTAATCTTCATTAGGAGATGAGATTTTTGCCAAGCCTCCAAAACAGGAGTAGCTAGAATGAACTGCCCTTTGGCTTCATTATTTGGATGCTTCAACTGCAAAGTTCCACTGTGCAGCTAGGACCTCATGTTCAGGAGATTTGAGTTATCGTGTAAGGCTGTAAGAGGTGGGAGAAATTCCTATAAATGTCAGACATTATGACATTAAAATGAATCCTAAAACATCAAGTGAAGGGAAGCAAGCACCACTTCCAAGCACGTGTTGAAAGACCAGCTAACACCAACATTCAGAGCCAACACAATATTCCAGTTGGAGCCTGACAAAAAATGCTTAATCAAAAGTGAACAGAGCGTATACTTACTTCCCAGTTCCCGATACTCCCATGATGATGTAGATCATGTTATCTGTGGATATTCACACGCCCTGAGGCTGATCCTCTGCCGGCATCATTAAAGAATAAAATGAAATGTGCTGTAAGAGAGATGAAGGATGCTTTCAGTTCAGTAATACATAGTTCTGATTTGATTTGGTGGTATCCAAATGGAGAGTTCAAATTAAATCTGCATAGAAGTCAACTCTTTAAATTTGATCTAGGTATAAATGTATACATTTTAAAAGCTTTGCACTTTCGTCAGCATTTGCCAATGAGCTTTAACAAAGCAGCTGACTGAGAGGAAATACCTTTACCTTGCTAACAAAGGTAGCAGTCTCCTGGTTCATACTTCTGCTTGTTTGCCCCACAAAATAGGTGTAATTTACAAACCACACTTTTATTAAAGGGAAAGGTGTGTTCATTTCCCCTACAAGCCCTCGTTTGCTAGAAGAGGGGGGATGGCTTACTTAAAGAGTCCATAAAAGTAGTGTTCTAGAGGTTGCTGTCAGAGTGAGAATGTTTTCGTTCGCTTAGCACAGTCGTTTTAAAGTTTTCCCACCAATAGCTGGAACCTACCACTGCGGAGAACAGGTGGTGCTCCCGTGGCTGCTGTCACACCACAGCCGCATTACGTTCAAGTTAACGGCCATATGACTTATAATACGTATTTACCTCCCCAAACACGTATTGGGTCTATGTGGCCCGACAGCAGCAACGAGAAAAAACACAACATGCTGCGTCAGACACTTGGACAATGGCCGCGGGTTGTTTTGCTACGTAATGACGCACTTGGCTTACGTTCACAATTAAAGGGACAGCGTCAGATCAGCCTCTGGATGCATGGAACGACTCTAAGACGTCATTATTTAGGAAAATGGAATCATTCCAGTTGAAATTAATCTTTAGCTCAGTTGTTTGATGTAGTTTCTGCCACTTTGACAATAACATGTATCTTATTAGACAAATTTATCAGAATTTCAGTCTCTTTTGATATATATTTTCTTAAAAAAAGGCAAAGCCATCATTTCCAGGACCAGTTTTCCTTATCAATTATTTATTATCTCATGTAATAACTTGAGAAAGCTCGTAGTTTTGTTAGTTTTCCTTTTCTTTTTAGTTTTTTAAAGCCCTTGTGTGTAAAAGTTGGGAAAACGTTTCACGTTAGACTGGCCTTTATGAATAAAAAGACGAAGTTGTTGTGAAAGAGAGGAGCACTCCACATGGCAGGTAATTCACAGTCGCCCCCATCTCCGCGCCTTGATGCAAACACTCCTGTTTGAGTTGAAGTGTTTGAGCCAGACAGAGAGAGAGGGGAAAAAGCCATCCACCGTCTTGGGGATCTTTCAGTGGGCAGGACGCACACGGATGCAAGCGCTCTCCTCCCTCTGTCGCATCCATCCGTTCTCTCATCCATTAATCCTCCTCTCCATCCACCCGTTCATTTCCAAGGGCGTCTCAAGGGGTGACAAGACCCCACGGACACCTGCTATGCGTGCGTCTGCGTGACTCCTCTGGTGTTTTTACGTAAACGTCTCGTCTGTGTTTGATGCCGCTGACATGAGGAGCTGAAACAGAACCGACACAAGGATGAAAATGCTCCGGTTTCGTAGCCCCAGCCTCCGCTCCTTGGACCAGGAGATGCTCTGCACGATCCGGTTACTGGACGACTCTGAGATCTCCTGCAGCATTCAGGTAGACGAGACCCCTCATGAAATGTGGTGTGTAGTTATTACTCACGTGGATGGAAAAGGTGGATTTCCTTTATTTTCCATAGAGGCACTAAAACAGTGTTGGATTTACAGCCCCTTGTTGTTTATCATTATTCTGACCATATCGTCTTCTTGTCTGCAGATGGAAGACCACATGAATAGAACGTTCCTCCAGTTTTCTTGCTGTGAATGACTATACATGTGTCTGCTGTCTTCCATTCGTTCTATGAGAAATCTGGTGAAGGAGAGGAAATAATTTGTTTTCACGGATCTAAATATGACTAACAGAGAAGTTAGAATGAACTTTGATCCACCATAACAAAAACGAGCTCCCTGGGTGTGGTAGTGATGGGATGTAAGGAGATACTACTGTCTGGATTACTGAATACTATCACCATGAAGCTGGTTCAGTGGAGCAGTGAGAGGTTGTGCTTTCTCGTGTTGTCTCACTCTATTCTCCTTCCCATAAATATGATGTTGAATTTTGTTTCCACTCAGCCGGCCGCATGCCGCCTCGCACAGCCAAAAAAGTGACAAGTCCCAGATTTTAGGAGACTGCGCTGTTGAATCACATTCTGAGTGTTTAAAATGCTTTAAATATACTGGAATGGACTTTATCTCTGGATGCTCCCTACCTTGCTGATAAAAACATGTTAGCCTCAGCAGCTTTTTACTCTTGTCTGGTTTAGATGTATCATACTTTAGAGACTTAGACAATACAGCTGTAGAATGAGTGTTTTATTTATAATAGGCTCAGTCTACCTTTTGTCAGTTACAGATCCTTACTTTTATTTATTTGGTACATCTTAAATATCACCGCTGACCGCCACTATTTAGTGTAAAATGTATACATGTATAAAAGATAACGTTCATATTAAAAGACATTAAAATTGTAGGATAAAAGCACTGATGACAATTTGGCCAGTGGCAGACCTCAGATTTTAGTGGCGTATGTGTTACAGTTACTCTATTAAAAAAAATGAGAACAAACACAAAACCCTCTATTTTAATTTATCTGATTGATTCAGACAGGTTTGTGATGAAGCACAGCACTAACACTAAAATCCAGATGAAAAAAAATTAAAATTATCAGTCTAATTTCAGATCTGATGCACCTGAGCAAAAATAAAACAGATACTATTTTCATAAGCAAATACAGGCCTTTGTGACACCCCAACTCCACAGGTGCAATTAGAGTGAAATCCTAATAATGTGCCTTTTAATGATTAAGATTTTGGGGGCGCATTTCTCAAACATGATGAGAATGCTAGAGAGCTTTTGAACTCCAAGTTGTTGCTGGATGTTCAAAAACTAGTGAGCTGAAGAGAGCTGAAAACTTCTGAGCTGCACTCCATCCCTTCCTAACCCACCTTGGGACGAGGTTGTCGACTTCCTCGGTTCTATGTTTAACTCTGAAAGACTGAAAACTCTCACTGGATGTCTGACTAACTGTCTCACTGGTATTCTTCATGTACCCAATCAATGATTTACTAAACGCCACCACAGAGAGAAGGATGCTGTACAGAGCCATGCAGAGGTTGTGCTGCTTTTGTGGTGTTCCGTGCTCAAGCGTGTGCTTGTGTATTTGAGAGAAGAAAAGTGTGTTGAACTACATGTGAATGCCAGAACGCATTAAAGCGTGATTTTTCTGCAGGAGTTTTTTGACTTCGTCCATGACGGTGAATGTGTGTTAGTGCTTTTAGCTGTGCGTCCACATTTCTCTGAAGGATGAGGAAAATGGACATTTATGTTCTGCTGACTGCATTTTCCCGGCTTTCTTTAATGGCTTTGTGTTCCGGTGCTGAGCTGCTCCTTCCTACATATTTCATGACATCCTGTGCTCCTCATGCTACGCTTGTGCTGCTCAACAACTGTTCATCTTCTTTTTCCACCCCAAACAGTCTCCAAACTCTTCCTACACAGTTTATCCTCGTTTTACCTCTTCTGTCTGTCTTGTTTTTATATTATTCGCGCCATTATGCTGAATATGTAGGTCGGGATGAGTTAAATTTGCAGAGTTTGCCTGTGCGCTCTGCCGTAATTAAGCAGTTCAACAAATGTGAGGCTGTGGCATCCTCATTTCATCTAACTTCCCTCTGAGGCAGCAGCCTTGACTTTGAAAAAAAAAAAAATCAGAGATGGATTAGTCTAGCCCCCTTGGGATACAGTGTTTGGCACAACTCAGATAATCCCGAAGACTTCAAAAACTTGTGAAACGCTATAATAATTTGGGAAATTTCCAACAGCAACATCAATAATCATGAAAAAAGATGGAAGGTATGTTTGCCGAGCACCTTTAAACGTAATACATCCTGCTTCACAGGACACATTAGACATAAAGGCAAAGTGTAAAGGCAGGAAGGAAGATTATGCAGAAAAAAATTACAGCTTCTTTCAATAATTCACAATATGAGAGGGCATCTCTCAGTCAGGAGGAAAAGAATCAGGGGGTCTGTTGTTTGAGCACCGATTTCCCCAGACAATGTCGAAGGTTCTTCAAGAAAAACACATTCACTTGAACTCTTATGTGTTTATTAATGCGTTATTGTGAACTACCTTAATAGTAAAGAGATTAAGAAGCGCTGGAAAAGTACTTGTGTAAATGGGTGACTGTGGCTCGGAGTGTAAAAGTGCTTTTAGTGGTCAGATAGAAGTATACAGTCCATTTAGTTTTACCACAATGTAATTTATAAATTGTCCTAAATGTAATGTAATTAAGCCAACGTTTTTATGTAGGAACAAATAGTTTACATAAACATTAAAAAGGTGGATATCATAAAAACATCAGCTCAGTGTTTTCATGTTAAATGTAAATGTTTTATTTTTGAGGATAAATGCACAGTGACGTACAGACTGAATTGAGAGTTCTTTTTTCTTACATATACACAGAATTAAGTCCATAAAGTAAGAGTAAATATATTTGTTGAAACTCACTAAAGAACAATATTTTGTCTAGTTTTAACAATACAAAAATAATCTTATTTCTGGAGCTTTACACAAATATATCATAACTTAAAACAAAGTTGGTATTCTGTTCTCCTTAATATTAATTACATTTCTTCCAAAGGTGTAAAAGTGGTAAAGGTTTAAATAAAGTTTCCAAACATTGCAATAGATCTACTCAATATCAGAGGGATGGAGGGAGGAAATACAGCTCTCCACAGATTTTGATGTTGGAAACACATTAGTGTATTTGTTTGTCACTCAGACAGAGCCACTCTCTGGTCAATCTTGCAGAATTGACACGTTCAGACAGAAATACCTGGTGTTTGGAAATATTTTTATCTCGGGTCATGTCGCTTTTCAGCAGTCTTCAGTAAATTAGACCTTTGTTTTCTTCCTCCCTTTTTTTTAGCTCTTAGCTTATGGCAGAGTAAATGACAGGTAGGAAGGAGGGTGCGTGGCTGTGTGTCTGTTTTTGTTTGTGCGCAGCCCTGCAGGGCTGCATGTGTCCAGCCTGCTGCTCCTATCATCAGCGGTCATGTTAGGTTAGACCCGCTGCAAGAAGCCCATGTCAGGATCAATACGCTTTGACCTCCTCTTCCTTCAGATCCTCCCCACTCATCACTTTCTCCCTCTCTTCTTCTCCTCCCGTTTGTCCCTATCTATCCCGCTGTCATCTCCTTCAGCATGTTCATCTCACTCCTCATCCTCACCTGACTCCTCATCATCACTCCTTTTGACCTTTGGCCCATTGTCAGCTTTGTATTTGAGCCCCCTGACCCCAGTACTTTTCTTTGTCTTCCTTCTCTTGAACCCCCCCCTCTTCCCCCCGCTTCTCTGTGACTCATCATGTATAATTAAAGCAGATCACTGTTCTTCATGAGGCCAACATCAGTCAGCTGTCAGTGATGCCTGGTGTAGTAACGTTCGGGGAGATGTGTGTTTGGAGGGTGCATGAAGGATTTCAAAGCAGCCGACGAGCCAGACGTCTGCAATTTAGTCATTAACTCATCATGAGTTGCGAGAAAGATCTTGAATATCTCTGAAGGAGGTATTCTGGAAGAAGTTACTTTATCAATACATCACTTATGCCATCTGAATAAAGGAGGATACTGATGAATGTGTTGATTTGCACTGTATGTGCGAGCTGTTTGATCAAGGAGAGGTGTATGTGGGGTGGCAGTCCATAAAATATTTTCTGCTGTGTTCCTGGTGTGTATTGGTTATAAAGGTATGGCTGCTCTTGTTTCAGCTGGTAGGCATTCATTGAAGCAAGTTATAAATAGCATCAGTTTTCTATTCTTATCCCACTTGCTGGCGCCTCTTTGATGCTGTGCCGAAGATGACTAAAGAGAAATAATCCTTTTTCTTCACTTTGGCTCAGGAAGCAGCAAGGAGACAGCAGAGGAGACGGCAGAGGGGAGGAAGGATAGATCAAGCAAAATGCAAATGATACGAAAGTTTTATAGTTAATAAGTGAAGATACGGGATGTCATGGTTGGTCGACAGTGAAAATCCACAAGGTGCAGGCGGGAATCTGAGAGGAAATGAGATGAGTGGCTGTGCAAAAAAAAAAAAAAAGATTAAGCAGATTAAAACATGAAACAGATTTGAAATGAGACTGGCAGAGCAAGCAGATTTTTCATTAGGAAAACAGGGCGAAGAAAAGAGCAAGTAATAAATAGGAGAAGAGAGAATTAAGTAAATGGTGAAAATAAAAAATAAAGAGGCAAACATTTAGGGCCATGACAAATGCAATGAAAGTGAAATATTTGTGATGTATGTATAAATGTATATAGAAAGCATGTGCTTTTTAACATCAAAGTCCTCAAATTACTACTTTAAGAAAGAAAAGAGAAAAAGCTCTGACTGCAAACCTGTGATCTTGCCATTAAATTAGTTACAGAACCACAACAAATTAGAGTAGCTGTGTACTCATATTTAAATTATCATAAAGAAAATAAAAGTCTATCATTTCAGAAGGGAATTTAAAATAATTTCACTATCATTTGACGGCTGGTAAGATTAAACCTCTTCATC